AATTACCAATTGGTTGTTGATCATTTTCTAAAACATCATTTGATGATGAAACACGACTTATATCATCATCTTCAATATCATCATCTTCACAACTAAGTGGATAATCATCCAATGGATTTGTCTGTGTAGCATTTAATGTCATACGAATTGAATCCAAATTACGAAGCGATTCCTATTAAAGAAAACGAAATAGAAATCTATGTTTAAGAGGACTAGATAGAGTCCGGTGGGAACAGGAGCGGCAACAAAGAATTATTTTTACGGGAAACTGGAACCGAGAAAAGTCATTCCTGCAGGACACTATGACTAGAGCTCCATTTTCGAGTTTTCTTGAGAACAACTTGGCAAAAAGATTTGATAGATCTCGATGAGTAGAATAAAAGTTGTCATAGATTCAAGATTTCCAAATGCTTTCTTTCGGGATATCAAGGTAGTGTCCTGCGGGAACAACTTTTCTCGTTTTTCATTCCTGTAAAAATAATTTTTTGTTCCGATTCCCGTAAGGCTTTCGTCGAATCAAATTGTTGAATGTATCTTAGTTACATGTTTCTTTCAGGTTTCCATGATTTACTAAATGGCTGCTGATTCAAAAAAGTGATAAATTATTCAATCCTAATTGAACCCTGTCAGGATCTAGAAATTTCGCGACTATACGCTTCTTTCAGGATAGTCGATTCCTCAAGAAAAAATAGTAAAAATCTATAACGGTCCGTATCGGATCCATTAAGGACTAGAAAAGGAAATATTAAAGATTTCTACTTGGGACACAACTAAGGTTTGCTATTTAAAAAACATTTCGTTTTGATAAATTTTATCTATGTTAATTTGGTAAATTTTTCCTATATTCATTTTTAGTGAACACATTTTAATGTATGTAGAAATAGGATAAAACGATTTTCTGGAACGCAAATTTTTTTTAGTCTTGTTTCTGTTCTCATGTTTCCGACACTCAAATCACCACGAGAATTTCCGTTTCTGTGTTCCTATTCCAAAAACCTTACAGGAAACGTCGTTCCCGTCGGACTCTAGATAAAGGACCAAAAATGATGTAAGGCTTCCCCGCGTTTACATTCACACTGCTGAGATTTCTCCTATGGCAAGTAGGAATAAATCTGGGTGCGTGTTTTTTGTTTGCTTTGAAAAATATAGTTCCTGAAGCTCCGGAGAAGCAAAACACTGAAGATACTATGAAAAAAGCTTTTATCGGATGATGTTAATTTTGTAAAAATCCGCCAAACTTCATAGGTATAATATTTTCAGGAAAAAAAGAACAACACGCATGCCAATTTGATTGAGGTGCAAGAAGGAAATTTCAATTTTTTGTTTAAAAATTGCAAAGAAAGTTGCACTTTTTAGTTTTTTTAAATCTACATATCAAACATAAAAAACGACAATTTTGGGTCTGGAAAGGACCGGAATTAACTTAAGGAATCCTTCTCTTAGAAAACCTAATTGTTTTTTGAAAAAATATTGAAGTTGAGTTTTTGTTATAGGAAGATGCACCTTTCAGAATATATATGGCTTTTTACAAAATGATCAGAATTTCACAGATTTATCACAAGAAACTTCGATCCTACTATTTTGGAAAAACTACGTTGTCACTTGTATTAGCATTGAACAGAATTAACCAGCATAACAGATGATGTTAGCTATCTCCATTTGTTACGTTCTTTAAAACAGTCCAGTGGAGTGTATTAAAAATACGCAATCGTCATATGATTTTTGTTTTTCTGGATTTGAATGAAAAAATCCATTTCTAAAACTTCTTTAGCGTTTTTTTTCTCAAAATATGATTTCCGGGCAGAAAAATTGAAATGATTCTCTTCCAGTTCAAGTTATAATCATTGTTTTTTTTTGTTTTGAAGCTCTAAATACGAAAAAACTTTTGTCCGACCAGGTTTTTTTTTATACTTGATTTTTAGTCTGAGAAAAGTGAAATTTACTATCGTGGATTCTGTTCGGATAAAAACTGCACACAGAGGTTAGCTTTAAAATTGAAATCACTTTGAACTCTTTGTACCTTGTAAAATGACGAAGTTATAAGGATTCTCCTGGAAGTCATAAAAACAAGTTGGAAGTTCGGTCTAATAGGACATATCGGGTTGAAATTTTGACCATAAGGATTTCTCACTAGGACCACTCATTTCTGTAAATTTTAGCTTAAACAGTTCGTTCTAAGTGATAAATCAATTCTAAAGAAGCGACTCCTTAAGTGGCTTCGTTTTGTTGTTACTTGTTGTATTCGATGATCTAATTGTTGTTTGTAAATACGTTTTTGTTCTCGTTCATCACGAAGATTATTGTGTAATTCGATAATTTGTGATTCAGTTATTGATTTTAATGATTTAAGTTCTTGCATCATTCGATGTAAATCATCTATCTATAAGAAATACAGATTGTTTATTTTTTTGAAGAATTTTCAACTTACATTTTCTTGTAATTGTTTATTTTCAAGTTTTAATCCATCATAGTCAATAAGATTTTCTCTTAATCTTTGTACTTGTTGTTGTAATGTAACATTATCTTCTTCTAATTCTGTATTAGCATCTGTAAGTCTTAGTTCATGTCGTTTACATTGTTTTAAATCATATTTTAATTTAATTTTTAATTCATCTAATTCTTGTATACGTTCAATAAATTCTTGAGATTTTAAAAGATTTTTTTCATTTTCATTATGTAAACGTTCATTATCATGTTTTAAAAAACGTAATTCATATTCATTACGTTGTATTTCTTTCATTAAAGAATTTTCACGTGTTTGTTTTTCATTTAATAATGTTTCTTCATTTGTTTCACCTTGTAATGTTTCTTCACGTTGATTAACTTGAATAGTTTTTAATTGAATTTTTAATTGTTCTAATTCAGTTTTAAGTATTTCATGTTGATTTTGTAATTCATCATATTGTAATTCTAATTGACTTTTTTCATTAAGTAATGCTAAACCATATTCAGCTGCTTGTTTATTAGCTGAACGTAATTTAGCTATCTGAACATGAGAATCTTCATCATCGGATGTTGTCATAATGAATAGAATGTGTTCAATGAATAAATGCAATGAAAAAGTTGCGTAGAAAGAGAGAGAGAGAGAAAAAAAAAGAACAAGAAGGTGAACGGCTTAATATTTGATACTAAAAATATATGTATTTATAATACAATGAATAATAAAAATTTTTTCTTTTATTAATAATAAATAAATGATTGAAAAGATTATTCTAGAGAAAGAAAAAAAAAGGTACAGCATATGTATTACATACACAGGTAGATATCCATTTGGTATTTAATGGATAATACAGGAAAATAAATGAAAATATAATACAAAAAAAATTCATATTAATATAAGAATATATATATTCAATTCTGTTTCCTGGTATATTAAATAAAAATATACTATAGATGTCGCATTTCTATGGAAAGCGATTTTGCTGTATGCAAGAAATTGAAGTATTAGAAATATCCATGAAATAACTATAGAGAAACTACCAACGATTTCAGGAGTATCACGAGGTCACTTAGATTGAAGAGCGATTTTTATCGCGGGAATTGATGAGCAAAAATTGTTCGATTCTCGGAACTTCGGTCGAAAACTAAGGTGGAGACTTCTGAATATTTTTTTCGTTCAGAAAATAAATAAAAAACCAAGTAACTAAATTTGAATCATATATTTATTATATTGAAAAAGAAAAAAAATGAAAGACAAGCAAAATACTTTGAAATATTAGGTTATCGACCATAATTAATGTCTTGATTTGTGCAATCATAATTGTTTTTCGCTACATTAACTCCTCAATTATTATTGACGAGTAGACTCGTCAAGGCCGTCGTTATGAAGAAGACGAAGACTGCAATTCCTTAACTTTGTTTTGTTTTGTATATTCTATGCTGACTCTAACATCCTGCAATGAATAGAACTTTCTCTACCAAAGATGTTCATGATGGTGGGACAGCGACAGGTTTTCAACTGTGATCGACATCTCTGCTGATGTTTCACATCGGTTATGTTTCTCTGTGTCAATTGTATCATTATTTGTATTCAGTGTGAATCTGCTACTGAAATATTATTATTGGATTGATTGTTGTTACTCTATAAATTGTGCAAGAAGTGAATTGAAAATACAAATGTACAATTTGTAATGTTGTAGTTTGTGTTTATCATATCTTACTCTAAACTTTTGAATGAAACCTTGAATTTCGAAAACACTTTTGTAGAATTAACTTTTTTTTGTGCTTTGTCATTGAAAAAACAACTTCTGAACATATTTATCCGCAAAAGTTTATATCATCCTTAAATATCGGTGAATTTATAAGAGTTAGTTTCACAGTTAACGAGTTAAAGACAAATCGTTAAGGAGATCAGATACTGTATTGAACTAATCGTTATATCGATTATAGGTGTTTATTCGACTTTTTTATGCTGATTTTCATGTGTTTTTCTGCTTCGATGCAGATGTCCATATGGGTTTAGATGAAGAGTATAACGGTACCTACATCCATCCACAGTCATATTTTGTACTTCCGACCAAAGTTGAGTTTATCAATCGTTCAATTCCACTGAGAAAAAATGAAAATTTCCGTCGATATCTCTGAGTAGTTTACTATCGGCTGCTTTTGAAAGTGTTGTAAATATTTTTGAAGTCTGTTAAAACTGACAGAATTGAGTTAAATATAATGCACTGTGATTATATTGATACATCTGAGTCACAGAGTCCAAATCGGAGCTAGTTATGAGAACAATTTTTAGTAGTAAAATATATTTTAAGGATGTTTTCTTCTCGATTAATTTGAATTGTTTCTAATAGATGATTCGAATTTGAATAGAAAACACTCTCTACAATCATTTATAGTTGAAATCGAAAGTCGCTTCATTCAAAGATTAGGTTTTTTCTAATTGATAGATAAGTAGTTTTTATTGAGAAATTCTTTTTTTGTTTTTATTAAAAAAATTCGAATAAAATAAATAATATTGAGAATGATTAAAATTAATTATTTGTTATAGAATATTATTAAAGATGTTTTTTAAAATATTGTTCAATATGATCAACGACTTCATCAACATGTGTCATATGCAAATGGTGTGGTCCATCGATTAATATCATTTTAAACTGAAAAAGAAAAGAACAATATGTTTTTTTTTTTGCTAATTATTGACTTGATTTGTACTCATTACTCACATTAGAATTGCACTCTTTGATACAAGCAAATGTTTTTTCATCTCGAGGATATTGAGGATTAGTAGCACTTTAACACAAAAATAGACTATTTTATTATTCTATTGTATTAAAACATACCCAATAAAAAGAACGGGTATTTTTATAGATTGAATTACACATCGAATCATCTCATCACTGAGTGGTATAAGTGTGTTCTATGAAGAAGAAAATCAAATATTACTATTTAGATTGATAAAATTTCAGAAATGAATAGCAATTACGAGGAAATGATCAATCACTTGCTCATAGAAAGGTAATCGATCGTAGTTTATTGATCATGCTGATTTCGAATATGATCATAAGGGATTCTCTTTGGTCTTCATATACTGGTTTTCTAATACATATCAATATTTCAATATGAAAATCTTCAAGACGATATTATTTTATTTAAAATTCATTTTTGGAAAGTAGAAAAGATTATTGTCTTATAGACAACTCGATGTGTTCTATAATCTGAGCAGATTCAAAATGATTTTGGTGTCTAGTAACGGGTGAGGCATAATAAATGCCCACGTTTTTTGCATTTCAATTTTTGATTACTAAATACGTTGTATTAAAAAAATACACACCACAAAACGCAGCGCGAAAAGCTCCACAATTTACAAAGAACAGCTTAATATTTTTCATAAGAGACACTTTTATACTTTAAGACGAACAAGGTAGTATAAATCAAACGATTAAGTATCCAATAACAATTACGATATAGTTAGATGCTTCTAAAAATGGGCTTACGTCTTCAGTTATTTTTAAATCTGATGAAACATTATCAAAAGAGAATTATATTGAAATTGCTCTTTCATATGTACAATCCGAAGGTAAACGACTGCAGTGCGATAATTCCATCGACTAACAAGACAATCTCATACCACATACACATCATGAATTATTGGCATGGTCTGAAGAAAACATCGTATAATTCATTAACCCTAGTATTACCAATCAGAGTCCATTTAGACTCCACTGTAGGAAATAGAAATTTAACAAAAATATCTTAGTATTTTTTCAGCTTCCAAAAATATTTAGCATTTTTCTCGGTTTAAAATTTAAAATTGACTATAACAAAAGCTAAGATACTGCCGATACTGTTAATTAGAAGTGTTATAAGTATTCCGTAAGAAGAGACACAAAGAGATGACCATTTTATATCTTTTACGGAAGGATAGATATTGTCGCTATAAATGCTCTGACTGTATAGAAGGATAAAGTCCTAATTGAAATACGAATAAAAGACAAAATATAAACGTCGTTTATTCCTTGACGAATTAGGGAAAAGTGTAACTGCTCACGTTTTTGATTTTCGCTCGAGAACCTCGAACTTTTTACATAAGGATATCCAAAAATGCATTTCAATGTGGTAAAAATCGGCAGAAAACCGACGATTTATCGCGACTACCGGTTCCCATTGCTGCAACTAACCGCGGCAAACCACCGGTTTTGACAAACATTACAGTTTACCACTAAAAATGATCCAGTTTTTTGTGACATAGGTTAGTTGTGGTCGGTTATCCTATAATGAAATAACTGTCATAAGGATTAAGTGGAAATTTCATGCAATCAAAACGCAAACGATGTTCAATTTGTGATCGTTCCAAAGACAAAAAACACTCGAAATAAGTTTTATTAATACTCAGAATCTGTTTTTAATCTCCATTCTGTAAAATGAAGTATTCATATTACTTATTCCAAATAAAGAAAAGTTAAGATTCTAATAATCTCTTTATAAGAATGAATCGGAAAATAGTATAACTTCAACAAAAGTCACATTATGAAAATACATGTCATTGTATTATCTCTAAAATAGATTTGATAGTACTAGAGTTAAGAATCACACATGGTGAAACCTATCGGATCCAAGAATTTCTGGATCCGGATCTAGTCCAGGTAGGGTCCGATGGACACCCAATAGCCCTACCCTCAATATCCTGGATTATTATGTTTGAGATGCTGTCCGAACAGCACACAATGGGATAAAGTTAAAATTATGATTCGTTAATTGATGATATAAAAAGAATTTGTCGTGTACCAATCGATGATCTTTTTCACAGCGCCAAAACTTGGCTGCACAGAATTTTGTCCATTTTGAAAGAAAAAAGTACAATTATAAAACATGCTGTCCTTGGTAAATGGTAGAGCTTTTCACGATACATCTAGTAGTATATTTTTTTTAATACAACGCATTAAGTGATTAAAAATTGCAATGAAAAAATTTGATCATATCTTATGCCTCATCCGTTAACTTTTGGTTGGAAAGCGATTAGTCAATTGAAAATATTCTCTCGATAGGTGCAGTATTCCGATCCTGTTGCCTTCTGTCAAGAAGTAATAAGAAGTTATCCTGTCGAAATTGATCCATACGCCATCGCGTGAGGATATATAATACGTATTATACTTACTGAGTTTAATGACTCATCATGGGTTAAATGTATTTCACCATCTAAACAAAGAACTTCATCTATAAGAAAACTAGATCCTGATGATAAACCTGTATCTTGACGAATTGAACGTTCAATTAACAATTTAGCAGCTTCATCAGTAATACCAGGTCGCATAATTTTTATTCTGAATAAAACAATTTTGATTCAACTTTTTTGTTTTGCTCAACTTATTTTCTACTTACAATTGAAGTATTATTTCAGATGTTAGATGAGGCTTGTGAGATCTAGGTGGTCTTTTATGATATTTTAAACTAGCATCAATTCGAGAACCTTGAATTTTGAAATAATCTTCCAATGATGTTTCTCCTCGGGGCAGAGAATCAAGACAAACAAGACATAAGACTTCTTCTGGATAACTTGCTGTATACTACATATAAAACAAAAGTCATTATATGTATCAATACTAATTATAAAAGAAATCTACAGTCACTCCAATTGCTGCACCAAAACTATGACCAATAATAGAATATTTTTCTTTATCCCAACCAAGGCCTTTAAGGAAAAGATAACTATACTGTACTTCTTTAAATGATAAAAAAAAAGAACTAACTTTGAATAACAGTACGAAGATCTTGAAGATTACGTACAACCGAGTAATCAATACCTTTAGGAATATGACTTGAAAATCCGTGTCCAGCACCATCATACAAACAAATTTCATAATCTATAGAAAAAGATAATACAATTACTAATTTTCTTTTATTATATCTACACCAAGAGGAAAAAAAAAAGAAGTATAAATGAGATGCAATAAATTCCAATACTTCATTCGAAATTCAAAATACTGAAATAACACTTTACTCGACTTACTTGGATGATGATTTATTAATTTTTCTGCAAGTGGTAATAATGAATTAAGATTATCGAGCCAACCATGTATACCAATAATTTTCATTGTTTTTTGACAATGACTATCGGTGGTTACTACATCATTTTTGAGTAAAATACCAGTCAGTGTACCACCCCATACACATGAAATATTGAGTTTTGTTATGTTCATCAATAAATACTAAAAAAAAGCCTACTCTTAGATTTGTAAATAGATCTTTCTATTTGTTTTAATTAAAAAAAACAACCAACAATCAAAATGAATTTTTGAAATTTTAATATGATAGAATATAATCAAATCAAACAAAGAATATTTTTCTAATAGATGTAAAACTACTTAGGGTATACCAAAAGTACTGGCAGTGACACTTTAATACCCTATAGTAGGCTTTAAGAAACTTTCTTTCTATATAGTCTGATAGAGAAAAAAATGCTCTATCTTTCTATACTATTTGATCGTACTTCAACTAATCTCATAGTATTAAATTATCTATAAAACCAATTTCGGCTGGTTATATGCTGGTTGTAAGTTTTGCATTGCAGTTTTCGATTTCTTACTAGTTGTATTAATAACCAAAATATACTATAAGATGCAGCGTGAAAAGCTCTACAATTTGCATACGACCACTTATTTTATAGCTGCAATTTTTGTTTTCGAAATCGACAAAATTTGGAGCAATCAAATTGTGAAGATGCGAAAAAGACAATGTTTTCGATACACAACGAATTCATTTTTGTTATTTCATTGTTTATCACCTGATATGCTTTACCAAAAGAAAAACAAAATATACCACAAGATGCAGCGTGAAAAGCTCTACAATCTATACAGTAAAGCTTATTGTAATTGTTTTCAAAAAAAGGAAAATTCTATGCGACCAATTTTCTCAATACCAAAAATTTGATCCCTCAAAACTTTATCGATTTTGAAAGCAAAAAGTGCAGCTATAAAATAAATGGCCTTATGTAAATTGTAGAGCTTTTCACGCTGCATCTTATGGTATATTTTGGTTGTTCATACAATGTCTTGAGGGATTGAAAACTAGTCTGTTCTCACACGTTGTAATCTAGTACAACCAGCACATAATCGGCCGAAATAGGTTTTATGGATAATTTAATATTATGAGATTAGCTGAAGTACGATCAAATAGTATAGAAAGATAGAGCATTTTTTTCTCTATCAGACTATATAGAAAGAAAGTTTCTTAAAGTCTACTATAGGGTATTAAAGTGTCACTGCCAGTACTTTTGGTATGCCCTAAGTAGAAAATGATTATTTAAGATATTTATTAAAATATTGATCGATATGTTTCGAAACTTCATCAACTTTTGCCATATGAAAATAATGAGATCCATCGATTAATATCATTTCAAACTATAATAGAAGAAAAATTAGTTGTAATAATTCATTATGAATACATATATATTGATTACTTACATTAGGAATATGTTTTTTTAATAATTCAACTGAACTTTTAGATACAGACCATCGAGGATTAAGCATTCTTAATATAGAAAATTAAAAATATTAAACATCATATAAATTCAAGTAAACTATTATTCATATCAAAATACAAGAAACCTTAAAAGGTTTTGTAAATAACTTTCGATTGAAAGAAGATAGAGACCTTCGATATGAATCTTGAGAGCAATCAAGCATATCAATATCTGATTAGTCAAAAGTTGATCAATCAGGTGGATTCTTCGTGAACATTTTGAAAATAGTGATTCAACTACTCCATAGGTACTTTGAAGGCATAATTTTGAATTCGATTGAAAAATACAATGCAAAAACATCCGTTAGGTAGGATAATCTATCCTACCCTGTCTGATCAGGGCATGAAAATATCACCTTGTGAATATCTCTCTAATCCATGCCTTGTTCTGTTCAAGAGTTGTAAGGTTTTTCTCTAAGAATTCATCTGATCGATCCAGTGTTGACCAATCGGATTTCGATCTGTCTCAATGCCTCCTCCCCTTCCCAAAACTCCACTTTCCAATAGTGAAAACTGTAGCTCTCTATCTTCTTCCTATCGAAAGTTATTTAGAGATAACCGTAAGATCTTCTTTATTTTGAAACGGATAATAATTATTAATACCCAATACAAAGAACTGATGCTTGAATAGCTTTAATTGCGTCTTCAGCTGAATGTTGAGTAAATGGTAATAAATGCAACTATGAAAAATAAAAGCGAAATTTTATTTTTATCTTTAATCAATTTTACTAACATTTTTTAATGATTCATCTCGTGTAAAATATAATTTATTATCTAAAGTATATTATTTGAGAAAAGAAAATAACAAAGAAAAATAGAATTTCTACTAACGTTTATCTCGATCGATTGATCGTTCGGCAAGTAATTTCGCTGATTCATCATCAATACCACGTCTTGAACTTCTTACTCTTTAAATGTAATAAAAATATATTTATATGCTAGCATCCAATCTAGGATTCGATATCGAATGAACATTAATTCAGATCATTCTCGGATTGATCAAATTAAAAATATATTCAATCTAAGATTTGTCTAGATAAATCCGAGATTGACTCTATTAACCTTTCAATCCAAGATTGAAGATTAATAGATATATATATGAAATTTTGTTATCTAATTGATTTCTACTTACAATTCAATAGCTTTTTCATATGTTAATTCTTTTTGATACGATTTAGGTGATTTACTATGATATTCTATATTTTTATCAATTCGCGTAGCAACATTTTCCCATAAAGGTTCCGATGAAAATTCGCCTCTAATAATAGAATCAAGTGTAACAAGACATGAAATTTCTTCTGGATAAGCTGCTGCATACTATGAAATAAACAAATATATCAATAGAAAATAATCAAAGAAAAGAACTTTACTGTAAATGAAATATGTCCTCCATAACTATGACCAATTAAAGAAAATTTTTCCTTATTCCAATCAAGACCTTAACAAGAGAATTATATTAAACCTTTTTTTTTTTTGTCAATAAATACTAACCTTGAACAACAGTACGAAGATCTCGTAGACTATAAGCATGTGAATAATCAGAACCTTTTGGAAGATGACTAGAAAATCCATGTCCAGCACGATCATATAAATAGATTTCATAATCTATCATTGGATAATAAAATTTTTTTTTCAACAAGTATTAAAACTTACTTGGATGACGATCTATTAATCTTTCTGCTAATGGTAATAATGAATTAAGATTATCAAGCCATCCATGAATACCGATGATTTTCGTTGTTGGTGTCTTGACTGATGCCGCAGCATGATTTTTTAATAAAATTCCAGCTAAATGACCACCCCATACACAAGGTATATTCAATTTTGTTACCATTGATAGATTTTCTGAAAATAACAAAGACCAATTTTTTTATCAATGCAATAATGTTAAACAAGATTTTAAATTATTTAAAAAAGTTTTACATTCTCTACTTGAATGTTACAACATTCATGACAGTGTAGATGAATGATCGAAGCCTGTAGTTCTATTGTATGTATTTCAAGTCTTGATGTAATAAAAAGTATTGCTATCAAGATTTATTGATCGTGGAAAAACTTCCCGAAATTTCATTTTTTAGTTGAAACGGACATTCTTAACTACATATTTTAGCTAGCAATAAGTCTAACAAGGGAAGATCTCCAACTATTCAATCGCTTTTTGAGTAGAGAGCTATGTGTATTAGGTAGATCCAAATGAATTATGAATATCCTGAAAAAGAGCTCTTCGCTTATTGCTGCGAAGATACTGTACTTTTACGGCATTTTTTAAATGAATAACGTAGTAATAGAAAAACTGATTTTCAGATTTCGACTTAAAACATTGCATAGAAACAAGTCTAGTTTTTCAGATTCTGTCGCTGTTCTTACCCTAAGATACAACCATGATAATATCATCTCCTTTACATCACTTAAATAAACCAATGGATTTCAGAGAAACAAATCGAAAGACCTGAAACTTTCATAATAAACTACTCTCATTAAGAATATCTTCCTCTTTCTTGACTCAAAATTTTTGGATTTTTGTAACCAACTGTATAGCTTCAAGTAGTATCTATCTATTGACTATATTTTCGGATGGGAATATTGTCTTAAAACAATAAACAATTAGAAAAAAAAATCAAATTTACACAACGAAAATAGCGGAAATTGTACTTTATTTTGTGTTTCTTTCTCAAGACAATTTTTTCATGAAAAAAAAAAGTACAGAATATTCTCGTTTCTCCAGCGTCGTAAGTCCAATCGAGCTTTCCATTACCATGGTATTCATAGCTTATTTGGATCTACATCATGCATATAGTCTCGATTCAAAAGTAATTATTCAATTGGCGAACTGTCACTCAAATAATTCCTATTGAATTCTTATGTTTGGAATGTCTTCCATTAAGATGCTTCGGATTTTGTAATAAATCCATCAAAGATAGATTTCTTTCGTCTTCGACATAAGGAAGAGACGATTGACATTATAATTCAAATATCTGTCTTGGGAGACGTTTTCTAAGTATTATAAACTTGATAGAAACCTGTTCGTAACTACAACAACTAGCAAAAAGTTGAGAAGATTTTATCTTGAGATAAAACATCAGCTTAGATAAAACGTAATATTCAATCATGAAATCATTTATTTTTTATATTAAAATAAATTATAGAAAAAGAAAAAGAACAAACAAATAAATCTGATATTTTAAAATCAATCACAATTGACTATGTTGTATCATTGTTATCGAAGATTGTTGAAGATATTTGTCAAAATATTGTTCAATTCGATTAACAACTTCATCAATATGTGTCATATGAAAATGATGTGGTCCATCAATTAAAGTCATTTCAAACTAAAAAAGAGAAAAAAAAAACATTTTTTAAAATCATTAAATAAATTAGCATTGCTTATTCACATTAAGATGATATTTTTTAAGTAAATCAATTGTTTTAGATGGTCTAGGCCATTGAGGATTAGTTGCACTTTAAATAAAAAATCAATCATTTTTATTATTCTACTATACAAGAATATACCCAATAAAAAGAATAGATCCTTTCATTGCTTGAACAACATTTTCAACCATATTATCAGTGAATGGAAAAAGTGATAACTATGAAAATGAAAAGAGAATGATACGTTTTTTTTAATACAATACTTATTATAATACTAACTAATTTCAATGATTCATCGCGAGTAAAATGTAATTTATTATCTAGAATATTAAAAAAAAAAAACTTTGCCTACAAGAAAAATATATAATGATAATAAACCTGAATCTCGACGAACTGCTCGTTCAGTTAATAATTTAGCAGCTTCATCAGTAATACCAGGTCTACTATTCTTTGTACTAAAATAAATATATTTCATTATATTTTAGACTATGGATTTTTTTTTTGTCTACGAACTGTTCAACTGCTTTTTCAAATGTTAATTCATCTGTATAGGTTTTCGATTTACGACTTAAATATTGTAAACTATTATCAATACGAGAACCAATAGTTGTCCAGAATAAATCTGATGATACATGTGGTCGAACTAAAGCATCAATAGCAACAAGACATACAATATCGTCTGGATAACTTGCTGCATACTAAATGAAAATAAAGATTATGTTTATAATATCAATTATACAAAAGACTTAACTATCATTCCAAGAATTGCTCCATAACTATGACCAATAATAGAAAATTTTTCTTTATTCCAACCAAGAGCTTAACAAGAGAATTATATTAAACCTTTTTTTTTTCTTGTCAATAAATACTAACCTTGAACAACAATACGTAGATCTTCAAGATTATGTGCATGCGAATAATCAAAACCTTTTGGAAGATGACTAGAAAATCCATGACCAGCACGATCATATAAATAGATTTCATAATCTATTATTTAATAATAACATTATTCTTATTTTTCCTCTTGACACATGTTAAGACTTACTTGGATGATGATCTATTAATTTTTCTACCATAGGTAGTAATGAATTAAAATTATCAAGCCATCCATGAATACCAATAATTTTCGTAGTGATTTTATTATATTCACTAGTCACTATTGTATCATTCTTGAGTAATATTCCTTTTAAAATACCACCCCATACACATGGAATATTAAGTTCTGTTATAATCATTAGTATTCTCTACAAGTATAAACATTCAATCAAAAAATCTCTACGAGATTAAAATGTGCTGTGAAAGCAGGTCATATACTATAACAAGACATTATTGATATACAGTCTGTGATCGTATATCAATATCTGTCGTGGGGGAGGATGTCACTCAGATGTGTGTGCCTCTAAAAATTAACATTGAATTAAAATTTTCTCAAAATTAATTAGTTATTGTCAACAGCGAAAGGTTAAGCTAGGTAATTTCTGCAGATATGAAATTACTTTTCAATCAAGACGATATTCATTTAATGAGTAATAGAAAAGTCTAGAATGATTTGATTTTTCGAGTCTACATTCGCTCGAAACTTTATTGAATTTTTTCAACAAAAATCACTATGATCGCCTTTCTACTACTCGTCAAATAAGCATCGTCTCGGTCGAAAAGTGATTTGATATTTGGAGAGATTTTCTCTTCCTAAATATTCTCTCTCATATTCTATCAGAACAAGGATTCTTCTATTACAACTTCTTTAGTTTTATTATACGTTACCAAGATGTTTAAAGATTCTTTTAAGGGCCCCCACCCCTCAAAAAAAAGGAATTTTCGACAAAAATATCGATTTTTAGATTTATACATAGTTAGATAGCCCATTATCTCTACTTTCGAATGCACTATAATTTATTGGTTTTTCGATGGGTTTTGAGGGTTTTACAACGGTTTTTCTGAAGACCCCTGCATCAAAAATTTTTTTTTCGAAAACTTCAGTTATTGAAATCAATAGAGAGTGAAGAAGGTGAAACTGAAGAGGATGATGCTTACGAGCCAGGTGGTGATGACTGAGCATGAACCCGCGAATTTCGTTGTATGTTTTTTTATACAATAAACACAAGAATAAGTCATTAATTTTCTTTTGCCCACTCGGCAACAGAAAATTGAATGTTTTGTTTCGTAATATCTGATTCAAAACACTAGTTTCATTATACATATTAAATTCAAGTAATTTTATAGATTTTTTCAAAAACCAGTGGTTTTTGATGGTTTTTCGTGAGACCAACGCTTACACGTAAAAAAAAAACTACGTCACACATATCTCTCCATGTGCTCATACGATTCGCCATAGTCGATAACCTATAATAAACTGCCTTCTTGTTTATTCACTACCATTTTTAAACGAAAAAATCGCGATAATCAAAGAAAAAATTGTTTTGTGTTTTTCTCGAAACTGTTTTTTTTCGTTTTCTTTGACTGTGTGTCAAAGATTTCTCCGCCATTTTAAATGGTAGAATGCTCGGGAAGGTTTTAAAATGAAGGTAAATATCAGTGCTACAACCTAACAAAGCCAGAATTTTTGTTTTCAATTTATTTGTTTACAAAAAACTCGAGTTTTCTAAAAAATTGATCTAGGTTTTTCGAAAAAACTGTCTAAAAAAATTAATTTTTTTTTTTCAAAAATCCGGCTTTGTTAGGTTGTAGGGGCAGGTCTTCTCTACATTTTGACACCATCCCGAGGTCCGTATCACTAAAATTGAAAACAAAATCTTTGACACACAGACACCTACTTTTGACCCTTGATGTTACAATAACTCGCGGAAAACTCAATATTATGAGCTCAAATTTTTACTGAGAACTATCAATGGTCAGATACATATTCAATAAAAATTTCAGTAAGATTGAGTGTTCTGGGGAAAAAAAAAATTTAGAGGGGTGGGGGGCCCTTAACGTATAAAAACCTTCGTTAGCACTGAGTTCTTTTCTCATTACTTTTCAATGTAACAAAAAAATGAATTTGTTATACTAAATTATATATTTAAAAATAGAAAGAAAAAAAAAAGTTGTGTACATATTCATCATTTCTCTCTAACGACATGCATCATCAAAAGACAAAAATACAATATACAAAAAAAAAAAAAAAAAGAAACGACACCTCTTCATTAATACTATATATCTGACACACTAAGAGAAAAAAGATGATACGTTATAAAATAAAATTAATAATAAAAGTACTGTTTTTCCTGAAAAGAAAAAATAAAGCAAAAGAGAAAAGTGACCATTCCATTCATATAACTGAACTATTCGTGATATATAATAATTAACTATTACACAAAAAAAAAAAAAAATAATGTGTTGCAAAATGTTTATCAATAATAATTACATGAGTTTCGATTATTATATCATATAAATATTGAGACAATATTTTTTGGTATATATTAACAAATCAGTATCTATTTATCATGGAAAAGTTGATCAACAACGATGATCGTAATTTGATAATTTATATTCACGAAAAAGAATTTCTGCACATCGATATAAAAATAATAAATCACCCTATAGAAAAGAGAAAAAAAAAGGCTTTGTTTTTTATTAAAAAGAAATTTTTTTTTGCCCTACGTGATGGCGCCAAATTCCTGGTCGTTTTAAATAATAAAATTTTGCTAATTCATATACATTTAATATACCTTCATTTTCTATTTGTTCATTCATTGTATACAATGCGCAAAATGTTGCTTGAAAAGAAAAGATAGATTAACATAAAAGATCAATTTTTTTTAAAATAGGAACACGGTCAATAACTGTTGAAATCGGCTCCTTCGAAAAATTAGGTTTCTTCTATGTTAAACTCTCATATAAGATATCCGAAAGTAATTTCCAGTAGAATTAGTCCTATAGCACTTGTTTCTGCTGTGCGTAACTCGGTTGAAACAGTCTATGACTGGCACACGTATACTGCAGACCTCGAAATCGAGCCACTTTTATTATGGCCTGGCCCAGCCCAAAGTGGTCCGAACATTGTTTAGGCCCGCCCGGGCCCGAAAGAAACTTCGTTTACAAAGATTTTTTCTCAATAGACAGCTATCCATATATTACCAAGGGGAGGGAGGTGGGAATAACGTGCAGAAGCCTCCCCCTATTTCTTCTCAGGGATGAGCCAAATCTTAGAAAAAGGGTAAAATCATCGGACCGAATAAACGGTATAACACTACTGAGGAAAAAACATTGACCATCAAGAAAAATTCTAAGGATACTATTTTTTTAGACTTGATTTTATATTTTTTTGATTAGTATTTAGTAGATTTCGATCAGAAAAGATGTGATCTGAGTGAAACTAATATGATATTCTGAATCAGCATTTAAAACTGAGTTTCAAGTATTTTCGTGAATTTTTCTTTTTCATCGAAAAATTCACTCCTTCAGAGAGATGAGTCAAAAAAATGAATTTCACGAAAACGCAAGTTTTATTATCTGCGATATTGAATCCTACTCTTATTTTATAACCTTAAAATTTAATTCCAACTGTTGCAAACATTTTTTGACTCATCCCTGAGGGATGAATTTTTCGACGAAGAAAAAAAAACAATTCACGAAAATACTTGACACTCACATAGGTTGACTTCATTTTAGAATGTTGATTTAGAATATCATCTTAGTTTTACTTCGAGCACACTTTTTCAGATCGAAATCTACTAAATCCTAGTCAAAAAAACATAAAATCATAATCTCAAAAATAGTATCGTTAGAATTTTTTGTTAGTGGTCAGTGTTTTTTTTCCTCGATATTGTTATACCACTTTGTAGCGTTATCAAAACATATGAAAACTAGACTGACTAATCATTAAATTGATATAGCTGAATTTAGTATACATATGAAAGTCATTGATTATTTCAACCGGCCTAGGTACAACTGCTATAGGACTAATTCCATCAGAAATCAATTTCGGACACCTTGTGTCAGAGTTTGACATAGAAGAAACTAAATTTCTTTGAAGGAGCCAATTTTATCAGTTATCAACCTTCTCTCTCTCTCTCTTACCAGCACGATGACCACCAAAAAAATCATGTACAACAATAGGTCCAATAGAATTTAAATTTTTTATTGTATTTATAAGATTAAATGATGTTTTAATTGGTGAACATGTTTCTGGCCAATATGTACATGAAATTAATTTTACTTCTAATTTAATATTTTCCTTTAAATTTAAACAGAGAAAAAAAACGAAGAAATAATAAACTAAAAAAAAGAAAAAGTTTTCTTTCAAACCTCAACAGATCGAAGTAAAAAATCGCGATAAATATATTCATATTCAAAATGTTCATTTGTCAAACAGACAATGAAACTTCCACAATTCATTATTTGATTTGCTAATGGCCAAAAATCAGGTACATCAGACTAAATAATCAAAAACAAACATTATTTTTTTTTTGTTTTTTCAAGCAAAATTTTACTTGTGATTTTTCATCACCATATAAAGAAACAATGATATTTGCATTGGTATTCCATATCATTTGCCAAAAATCAATTATTGTATTCATCATTGGATGTTGTGTAATGATAAATTGATCAATACGATAATAACCCTAAAACCATTCTCAAAAATTGATCTCAGTTCAGGAATATCCAAATTGCATGAAACTTTCAGGATATGTTGAAGCTGATGTGAGAAAGCTATAGTAAAATTTTCACCCCCTATATCATACTATTCACCAAACAAGGATCAAAAATAGCTCGATCAGTATCTCCAAGAATTCTCTGTGAACCTTCATTCTATACATTGAACTTTTTTTTATTTGAAAGCTTATGTTTAGGACTGATCCTTTTTTTTAAAATTCTTACTTTTTAAGCGACGGGAGAGGCTAGCCTTAAACACGAACTTTCAAGCAAAAAAAAATATTGACTACAATGAAACTCCCTCGACAATTCTTAGAGATGTGGTCGAAAAACGAGAAAACGAAGTGTCGGGTAAATATTTTTATCATTTCAGAGAAATCAGATCACGAGCTATCTTTCCCTGCATTTATCTTAATTTCAATGATTCTGACGAAAAGTGACTTTTTTTGAGGGACTCTAAGGGTATTCGTAGTTGATTAAGATCTATATAATGCATATAGTTCAGAGTACAATACGGTTAATCATTTGAGAGACTTCCTTAATTATCTGTCAATATCACATTGCAGTTCTTAGTTCAATATTAACTTACATGAATATATGATGCATTAATATAGTTTCGATCTGGTTTTTTTCTATCTGTAGAAAGTAGAACACAACACGAATTTAATGGTAAAATAGCTTGTGTTCTATTTTTTGCTAAATTTTCTTCCATATGTCCAATTGATAATTGATGATTATATGTTTTTATTTGTTCTATAATTAATTGAAATTGTTTTTCTATTCGTGTTAAATTAAATTCATTATCATAAGTATTTAATGTTTTTATAATATAATCAATATTATATTTATTTAAATCTAAATTATTACAACCAATATTTGATAATTGTGCAGCTTCATTAAGAACATCATATATAAAAATAAATTGTTCTTCAGTTTGAACAAGAAAATTTCGTTGTTGTCGTATATGTTTTAAAAAACAAGGAATATTTATTGATTGTTGTTGATGAATTTTTTTTAACATTGTATCAATTACTATATATGTTCCAGTACGGCCAACACCAGCAGAACAATGAACAACTATTGGACCACCTGTTTCTGTATTACAATCTGATGAATAACGTATAAATGAAAGGACAGGTAATGTAAATAAGGGTACACCATGATCAGGCCAATTAGTAAAATGAAATTGATGAACAAAACGTTCAGAATTGATGAGCTAAATAAAATTTTCAGAAAGTCAAATAGATTTTTTGACATGACACGTTTTAGAAGTAATCGTTCGACGTATAGATTTGACTGAGATATTAACTTTTTAGTGTATTTTTCTTATATAGAACAAATTTTTCGATACAATCCTACTGTTGAATTTTATCCGAAAATCTTTCCCTAGATGAAGGTCTCAGTAAGAGACTAGCTTATGTACAAAATTTCAGAAATTCTTGATCGAATGTCTCTGAGATATGCAACTTCCAAAATATACATATTTTATACTGTATCAATGAAAAAAAAACCCGATTGAAGTCTGAAAAATGTATATATTAGAAACATTCGATCGAAAACTACTGAAGTTTTGTGCACAAGCTAATCTTATTGAGATCTTCATCTGAGTAAAGTTTTCAGATCGAAATTCGATAATAGGATTTTATCGAAAAATTGGGTCCATACAGGAAAACTCTACTAAAAAGTCAGCACGAATCCTTTGGACGGTATTTTAGTATATCGATCCCCGACGACTAGGCATTGTGGGTCCGGAACCGAAAAAAAAAATAAAACTTTACTCTCGATCCTGGACCCGCAGCTTCCTACTGGGCACAATATGGACTTAGACGCTTTTAATCGTCTGGGGATCTTCCCTTGCTAGTCAAACCCAAATTCTTTTAGAGTTTATATTAGAACACTATGTAATATTTATATGCAAAAAACCATTGGAAGAGGAAAGAGGCAGTTGAGAAGGTCTTCTCGTCAGTTCCATAAAAGTACATGACAAGCAACATACTCATTCAATCATAACGTTCGAGAGGAACACTCATAGAGTTAATCTTTAAGCATGAAAAAAATTCAATTATACCTTTTGGTTTGTTTCACATCGAATTGAAAATATTCGTTTAACATAATATGCAAGAGAAATCGTACTGATTAAAGTTACTTGAATAGTTCCAAATGTTTCAGTACCATCTAGTGGCCAATATACGTCACATTTTATCTAAAAAAAAAAAGCCAATCTTTTGTATACCAAATTTTATTTCAAATAATCTTACTCTTCCACTTTCTTTTAAATTTGTTATCATTACTAATACGCTAACATCTTTTTCCCAAATCATTCTCCTAAAAAAAAGAATAGAAATTCTTCATTTTAAATTAAATTTCTCTACCAAAAATCATTAATAGTATTTATCATAGGTCCTTGTGTTGCAATATATGCATTAGTTTTATGGAATCCCTAAATGAAAATTTTTATTACCAAAAAAAAAAATTCCCAAAGTTAATTTACATCAATATAATTTGCATTGATATAAATTTCTTTACCATCATTTTCATCACAGGATAATTTTACACGTGAATGATCATCTAAATATTAAAAAATGATTTTCTAATATACAATTTGTTCTTTTCTATATACATGTTAATATATTTATATAACGATTTTTACATTGATTATGTTCAATTTGTGATATATCAGTAGAAAAATTATAAGTTTTTGATAAATCACCAATATTCTACAAATTAAGAAAAGAAAAAGATTTACAAAAAAAAAAATCAATAATTTTATTTTCTACTTCAAATAATCGAATGAAACCAAAATCATTATCTTTATGCATATATTTTACATATGATGGGAATTGCTGAATTGGAATTGATATTGTATCAAATTCTTCTATAGAAGAGACAAAAAAAAAAAAAAATTTGCTCGATACTAATTCAAAATTTAATCTACCATAATTTATATCAAATTTTTTTTCAATATTTTCATTTGTAGAATTATTAATTTGTACAAGACGAGATCTTGGATGATGATTTTTACGAAATGAATTTATATAATGAAGTAATATATGATAACAATTAGACATCAAACCTCTATTTTATATAATAAAATTAATATTATTTTCTTTTGAAAACTATTTCTTACTTTTGATAAATAATAAAAAATACTAAACCTATTAAAATAATACTTAATAAAATAAGACTAATAGTAATAATAATAATAATATTATTTGATATTCGATTATTTCGATTGATAGGTGCTAAATGAAAAAATAAAAATACAAGATTAAAAATTTAAGAAAAAATAAATATATAAAATATGCAATACCTAATCGATTAATTGAACATAATATTGAAATATTTATTTTTTCATTTTTATCACTACCAATAAGATTATTTTCAACAATAATAGAATAATTTTCTTTTATATCAAATATATCAGCAGTGACATACTAAAAGAAATTAATATAGAATATATAATTCATAATATTGTAGAAGTTAATACTTATCGAAATAAACTCTTCTATCATAGAACAACTTTAGTCTTATCATAAAAATATTTCTATTATATTACAGTAGTAATATAGCTCAATAGTCAAATATAAATAAAACTTCTAGTTTATTAATTAATAAATGAAGAGAAGGTTATGTATTACGTCTAAAGTATCATTTACTCGATAAGTCTCCGAATATCAAAAGAAACCGGAAGATTATATAATTAGATAGTTATCAGCACATAGCAAAACTAATTAATCGATGATTAATGATTATTTATACGAGATTTACGATGGAAATGATATCTTAATTGTTGACGATTGATAAGATTTTTGTGTCTAGCATGACATTAGAACAGGAAAATTGTAGTTAAACTTAAGAAAAATATTAATATACGAACCATGATATATCTCATATTTCAATTATCTTTAATTTTTTTCTATTCATCGGTCATTGATGAAATCCCGAAAGTTCATTCATTTTCATTATGTATATTGAATTTTGTAAAACTCGAACACAAAAAAAAGAATGTTGAAGTATAGGGCAAGACTTTCACAGATATCTTAACGAGTAATCCATAAGTCTATAAACAAACTCAGTGACTCTAGGAGTGTATTGATTTAATTTTTTTCTGAAGGATCGAGTAGATTATCAAGCATATAGACAAACTCATTCGTTAGTGACGTGATTTCAAAAAATTAAAACATGTGTATCTCAGAATATTGAACTTTCATACGCTACATGCATGTTAAGTTATCCTAGATAAGCTGAAAAAATCAGCATTAAAGACCTTTGTTCAGAAGAGTTATCACTAACAAACTAGCGTTAGCGACACACAACTTCTGAGGTTACAAAATCTCTATCCAAATGTTTTTCCGAGCCTGCAAAAGTTCTTCAAAGATTTTGGTTTACTTTTCGTTAGAGTTGTGACATAGAACCACAAAAAGCTCTTATAACCGAATGAAAAGTTCAAAATCAATCATTCATCAAAATCTCCAGATGACGATAAGACAACAATTTTTGTTTCCAAACTTCAGAGGGTCTCTATAAAACCGATTTCCAAAAGGGAATTTTTTGACGTCCGATCTTGCTAAAAATTTCATAGATGCATTCCGTGCTGTATAGTCTATTCTTAAATTTTCAGATTTTTTTCTCTTATGGTTAGAGAGATATTTGCTAATTATTGCTTCATGAATCTATTAGTTAACTAATTAATTAGTTTAATAAATTAATTAACTAATCTAATAAACTACCGAATTAATCAATCAATTGGTTTAATAAAGCTATTAATTAACAAAGTGATTAATTAACTACTTTAATAAACTAACTACTTTAATAATTAATTAGCTAGTTTAATAAACTAATTAACTAACTAATTAATAGTTAGCTGATAGAACCGATATTTTTATCGATATCTATGTTAAAAAAAAACTATTTAGCAAAATAACCCTTGTAAAGAATCAAAATCAAATGAAAGGTGAAATATGTGTCCTGAAATAGCACATACAATATTGATTTTAGTAAATTTCTTAAATACATTTTTCTATTAATAACAAAAGTACTTTAGCGTATGTCATATTTTATTTCAATGAAATATTTTAGATTGTTCGAACTTACTTTATGAATATCATAAATATTTTTTTTAATAAAATGATTTTGTTTTATTTGATAGAATATATAATTTGGTTTAAGTGTCATTATATGTTTATGATTATTATATAAATGCATATTTATCATTAAATAAAATTTATGTTTTTTTATTGGTTTAATTAAACAAGTTAATGGTGAATAAATAGGATAAAAATCTTCACAATATTTATATGTTGTTCCAAGAAATTCTAATTGAATTGTTGATATAATTAATTTTATTTTACATCGTAAATTTTGTTCTTTTAAATGATATATAAATGAATTTAATGTTTTAATTATAGGTAATTGTTGTTTTAAAGAATAAAGATTATCACTTAATATTATACGATCTTCATGATTATATATAGTTAAATTATAAATATAATTTTTCATTAGAAATTGTGAACGATTAAATTCAACTAATAATAATTGATGATTAAGACGATAACATGATATCAATTGATCGAGTAAATGACGATCAATTAATTTATGAGATGAAATATTATCATATTTATTTGATGATAATGTTCGTCCAATTATTGTTACATTTCGACTATAGCGTTTCCAAACATCTACTGCTGATATATCAATTGAATAAAGTGTATTTGAATATAATGATAAAAATGTATAAGTTGATTGTGTATGATTAACAGAAATACGAAATCGAATTTTATTATTAAGTCTAGATGCAAAAGAAATTTTTAGAAAAATTTATAATGTTTCTTTTTCTTACTTTAAAATTAAATCATAATAAGTTATATTAGCATTTCGATTGTAATCATCATCTTTCCATTGAATAGTTAGACTTGTATTTGTTCTTTTTTTAATAAAAATATGTCGAACAGGTAATGGACGATCTAAATATATATATATATATGAAATTATTTATTTATTTATTTAATGAATAAAGATTTAAATAGTAAATTAATTTTCTGAAATTTTCGTATTTATTCACATAGCAATTTCAAAAGAATCACTGAGGAAACAAATACTAGAATAGAATATTGATATCGATTAGACGCATTCGAGTTTGTAGAGCTTCCCAGGCTGGTCATTTTAGTGATCTTTGGGAGAGAACGATGTGACAAAAATCCTATTTGAGAGTTTCAATAAATCGGATGCAGTTCGACAAAAAAACCATAGTGAGGATGTCTCACTTTGTAAAGAATAATTTGCTCTACCATATCGTGTGATGTAAGCAAATTTTATTTCCGAGTTATAGGTGTCGAAAAACTAAAGCTTTGATTTTCTGGAAAACTCCGTAGTGACCATTCTGTATTTTATCATCTTTTTTCTACGAAGCTCTTTTATGAAGATTTCGAATAGTTTTAATATCGGTAATAATCGTTAACATTACTGGCCAAAAATTTAGAACCATTTTATTCTTGGTTTTTTCTATAATGCTAAACAGTTAGCTCAAGTTCAAATAGTGATTGTGATAGTCAATGAAGTTTCGTATATAATGCACTTTATAGCAGAGTTTTATCAATGAATCATGATGAAAAGACTTCTAGAAAACCATATTTTTCAAATCCGGGAAGATATTGTTAAAATAATTTTTCGATAGTGTCATCTTAAAGAGCCCAAAATTCTGAATAAAATGATGGGTCGTCGCATTTGCTACGACCTTCCATTAAAAAGTTACAAAGAATATAAAAAACAAAAAGAATCGAAATTTATCAAAAAATGACTTTTTTTTGTTTTTTGTAATGCTTGTAACTTTTTAATGAAAGGTCGTAGAAAATGCGGCGATCCATCATTTTGTTCAGAATTTTGGGCTCTTTAAGATAATATTGTCGAAAAATTATTTCAACAACATATTCCCGACTTTGAAAACTATGGTTTTTTTAAAAATCTTTCCATCATGGTTCATTGATGAAATTCTGCTATAAAGTGCATCAAATAGGAAACCTCATTGGCTATCAGAATCACTATTTGAATTTGAACTAACTATTTAGCATTATAGAAAAAACCAAGAATAAAATGGTTCTATATTTTTGGCCAGTACTGTACAATGTCATCGTATTGAATAAATCGATCATGATACATATTAGAGATCCATAAAGTATTTCTGTGCGGTGTCTCATTTCTAATTGTTGTTGTTGCTCGTTGAGCACGTTTCAAAAGCGCAAAATTAGTTCTTCAAGTATTCATCTATGCCGTTTTTAAACAAATGAGATGATACAGCATGTACTTCGTAGAAATTTTTGCAACATTGCATATACAGTTATTTCATCCAATAGTGATATATAAAAGGCACTTCCTTCCCAGAATTTCTAGAGAATGGTTCATCAGAAAAATTTGAAATTTTCAAGGCAGGTAGATTCTGATAAGTACACCAAAAATTTTGTCATTTTCAATGCTGTCTTCTATGAGATACTGGGATCACAATGGTATCAACTTTCCTCTCTGTTTCTCCGAGATATTATGTTCGATCGAGCTGAAAATTTTTTATGGGCACTAGATACCGTTTCCGAAAGGGATATTTTTTGTCCTTCGAATAAAAAAAGTCTAAACATCAACTATTTTTTTTTTCTCATGAAAAAGCTATTTTAAGAAAAACTCGAAACAATTTACAATTTTTGCTATTTCCAATAAGACAATCTTTGGATACCCTTAATGAAAACAATATATAATAACTGACAAAACAAATGAAAAGAAAAAAAAAAGTTGACATAGATAACATTTTTCATTCCTAAGTTTGTCACAGATGTAACGATTCTTGTTTTTTAGTCGTATGTTATTATCTTCATATATTAATCAATCATTTATTCTTTGAATAAGAAATAAATGACTGCAATTATAAGAATAAGATGACAATATATTCGTAAATTTATTTCTCTAGACTTTTATTCAACATCAAAAAAATAAACTAATCTCACTTACCATAAATTCGAATTTTCATTCTATATTTTCCATTTATTTCAGAAATACTCGAACAAATAAATTCATGATCAGATGGTTGTAAACCATAAATATGATAATATTCATTATGAGTAATTTCAGTTCGATTATTTATAACATTATACCATTCAATATTAAAATTATGTTTATAATTTAATGGACATCGAATTAATGCTCTATTTGTTTGAGGATTAAGAAAAATAACTTGATTTATTTCATGAATTATTGTTAAAGAAATAAATGAAAATTTTATAAATAAAAAATTTAATAATAAATAATAATGAATATTTTTAAAAATAATATAATTCATTCTAAAATTGAATTATATTTTTGAATTTCATGAAAAAAATAAAACAAAACATAACATCTAAAAATAAACATATAGATTTGAATAGGTAATTGACATTTGATTTTCATTGGCTTGTTCTTATATTCAATTGTAGTATTACGGAATGACGACATCTAACTGTTAGATTGATGATGAAGAGAAAAAAAAAGAATCAGGTAGTATATAGAAAGAAGATTTTCAATTATTGATATAACAAAAGACTTTTTTTTTTCTGTATAATATTTTGTTATTTAATAAAAGCTTTGCATGTTTCAATTATAATTATTGAAAAAAAAAAAAACGAAGGGAAATCCATCATTATTGTTGATGTATCTTCAAGTCCCTCCTGTACTTTGTTAGGTCAATTAATATCTATTTTTTTCTCTTTTATCTTTAATAACGAAGACCACAAGTGATTATATTGCAATTCTATTGGGATGAAGAAAAAAAAAAAACGACAGCTAAATGTTTGCATCATTTATCACGAAATGTCACTTGTTTAGTTTATGGCCCAAATCGAAAGTGTGTGACTTCTAGGTTATTTTTATTATTGTAGTTTGTTTTATAGAAAGTTCTGAATCATTTCTATTATAATAAATAGAATTATTTAAACTTTATATATGTTAATTCAAGTTCATTGAACCTTTTATTATCTATTGAAAAACAAAAAATGTGTTAATAAGAAGTAAAATCTTTTTATTAATTCTCGGATAAATGGAATCATGTATATAAAAAGATTAGTTTCTGGACTTATTAATAACTCTTACATTAGTTGTCTTTTTTGATGACACCTTATATAGCAATATCTTTGATTATCAGTTATGCTCTGTTAAATATATTAATCTTTCATACCAAACATTAATTGATCTTTCAATCATGTATGCAAGCAATGTCAATGACGAATGAAATTAATGTCTTCTTTAAAATTGATAAAAAAAAACAATATGATTACATTTGAAAGAAATATAAAGTCTATTTTTTTTCCTTTCAATTTCCTTTTGTATGAAACAATATGTGATATAATTAGGATTGTCATGATATGGAATGTCATTATACAAGCTGTCTAACAATAAAATAAGAAGAAAAGAAAGCGAGAACATTGTATAAAACAAACAGAACACACTATATATATATATATTCTAGTTGCCAACAAAGCATGATGCAGGTTTTTGTCTAACACTTTGTTTGTATTTGTACGACACAAAAAGAAGATATTATTCTATATGTCGTCTTTTCTGTATATTATTCATAGAAGAAAAGAAAAAAAATATCAGAATGTAACAGCAAGAGATGCTTACGCATCTTTCGTGTACTCATATTTTGTACAGGAATCCAAAGAAAAAAAAGAGAGGGAGAGAGCAGGGGAGAAAGAAATTACGAATGAGACTGACATAGCTGGCGCATAGATGGATGGAATCGTTAGGACAGCTAACTGCGCCACATGTTGAGTGTCGTCTTCGTTTATATAGTAAAGAATAAATCAAGCGAGAGATTGATGATATCCAGCTAAGATTTGTTTTCTAGTACACCAACCATTCGTTTTCTCCTCCCTCTTGTTTATATTTATACTATTATGCTTTCATTTTAGAAGAAGAATTAGTTGTGGTAACCGCCACAATAATATCTCTTATCTCGGAATATTCTTTTCTTGTTTTATAAAATAATCCTTTCATATTTATTCAACGCATTTTTTATTTACATTAAAATACAACAATGAGGTAAGATAAATAAAATAGCTGAATGATCGTATCGAAGGTTTATTAGTTCATTTAATAGATTTAGATAGACAAAAAAAAATATTCTTCATGAGATTTCCTTAATAGACATAAAGCAATTGTTTAGCTGTTATCATCATCATCAGACTTTTCAATAAAATACACATAATGTGTGATAATGATGACAATATATAGTTTTATAAGAATGTCTGTCTTATGTGAAGGAAAATTTATTTGTAATTTTCTCTTTCTAATTAATATAATTAACTCTTGAAAATATCAATTAAATCAATAAGTATAATTAATAAAATTTAATCTATTATTGAAAGATTGATGTCTCATATGACAATTAAAGAAATTTTTCATGCTGAGAATCATTAAGCAACAAAATTATTTCTTTTTATATTTATTCTAGTGTATGTACAAAATGTACGAATACATTTCCAGCTGGATCTCGTAAGTGTTTATTTATTTTTGTTTGTTTTTCTATATTAATTATTATTTTTTTTCATATATATATATATATATATAGGTATTACGGAATTTGATGGTAAACAGTATCATGTATGTTTATACAAAAAAAAAAACCCATAAAAATAAACTCTAAACAAAAAAAAAATTCCTTTTTTTTCTAGCCTGAATGTTTTGCTTGTGTTGATTGTCGAAAAGGAATTACATCACAATTCTATCCATTTAATAATGATTATTTATGTGCAGCATGTCATGAACAACGTTTTCCACGTAAACGTTGTGCTAAATGTAATTCAGTGGTTACATCGGCTGGTATTACATTTGCTGGAGCTTCTTATCATGCGGCTTGTTTCTTGTGTATGTATTCACAATTTATATTATAAAGAGAAAAATAAAAAAAATTAATCAAGAGAATATAATATTCTAACTGAAGACTATTAAAAATATTTCAAAATAAAAGAGTCGAAGTAGTTAAATTTGATTGTCTGTAACTTTTAAACAGAAAGATGTTGGCCGTTTTACCAGTACTACTCTACATTATGATAATATTACAGAGAAGAATAGAGATAATATTTCACTTATTTCGAATAGAACTTTCTTCTGGTTTAATTTTCATATGGAAATATGTTTGCATGTTAGAATTAATCTTGATAGCTTCTTCATCTAACTAAGCTTTTAACAAAATGATCATTAACTAATGTAATGAATCTTGTTCAAAGAAAGCCTTCATAAATTAGGTAGTTTTTACAGGCACGAATGTAGACTTCGATATGCGAGAGGCTGGAGTAAATCAGCATCCCGCCGATTTTTTGCGTCGTGTCTGGGAAAGTTTCGCGCTATTGTCGGAAAACTATCTGTCAAGTTTTTCTATCTCCTTTCACTTCGAAAAACTATCGAGAGAGCTGAAATTCCTCTGTAATTGATTATCAAGGCATATTTTGTCTATATCTCATTAGGCTTTGTCTATAACTGACATATAAAAATTCGAAGGTTAAATTTTTTTTGATCAACAATGGGTTGTATTCATCCAAATCAAAATCGAATATATAATAAATAAACGAAGTTTCTATTCTTTTTTGTTTTTCAATGAATATTTCGAATTAATTTATGATAAAATTCTAGGTGTAACATGTAAACAACCAATATCGGCTCATTCAAAAATTTCAATGGTTGATGGTCAACCATGTTGTGCTAAATGTTATGAAGATCAACATGCAAAACGATGTAGTCTTTGTCAGAAAGCTATTATTGCTGATGTTGAATATCTTGAATTTGAAGATAAATATTGGCATAAAGAATGTTTTACATGTTCAAAATGTCAGGTAGAAAAAAGAAAATTTTTTTTTTGTGTCTTTTATTTTTATTTTTATTCTTTAGAAATGTATTGCTGAAGAAAGTTTTTATCAAGATGGAAATTTAATTTTATGCAAAGATTGCATTTAATTATTGAAGAAAAATAAAAATTAGAATTTTAAAATTTTGAAATCATCTATTTCTTTTTGTTTTTAAAAATTTTATGTGTGTGTGTGTGTGTGTGTGTGTTTGCTTTCAAAATTATATTGCTTCTACCATTGGCCTTTCTTACTCGTCCCTGGCTATATTTTATTATGCTTGATTAGTATTTTCTCTTCTTTTTTTTTCTTTGAAAAATAAGATTGAGTTATAGAATTCTACTATTAATAGTCAATTAATAGAGAAATTTAATCAAATTCTTAGAAATATTATATAGTCACGCAATGAAAAAACATACTCCCGTTATTTTTTTTAAGCTTAACAAACTTATTTTTTGATTTGTAAATAAAATGCATTCATTGATCATTAAGGTGTATCATTAAATAAAATCATTTGACAATCTTATAATTATATAATAGAATTTAATGAAAAAATCATTTTAATATAAACGATGTGAACAGTTGCATATTTTTTTTTTTCAAGAAAATGTCATATTAAGATATAAATACTGAATTTATATATAAATCAATTGCAATTAAAGAAATCTGGTGCCAATTCATATGTACTCAATTTTTGAATGGCAATGTCAACTAACAAAATAAATTGCCATTAATGAATAAATGTATGACAGTTAGTAGTTATATGAAATGAAAGCAAAAGGTTAGGTCAACTACTGAAAAGTTCAATGTTTTTTCAAAGATTAGATCAATTCGTTATTTGACAACTGTTTTTTTTTTCTTAGCTCTAAATTTTCTATAGATCTACTCTAGTAAACTTGTGTAGTTTAGTTTCATCATTCGGAAAAAATAAAATAAAATATATCTTGACCTTAATTCATATAAAAGGTACTAACGACCTCGTTCTTATTCAAGCATTGGTTAGTTTATATTAATTCAGTTATTTGATCAAGACCTGTCACTTATCTGTCAACGAACCACAAATCAAAATATGTTGTCATAGATAAATAAAGAAGAAAAAAAAAAACTTTCACATCTTCTTATAGAGTTGTATAAATTTAATAAACATAATAATATTATACTACAGTCTGTGAAAAACATATAACTATGAAAAAACAAAAACCAAGTTTTCTAAATGAATTAAAACTCAACAATTTTCTGCAACATTACATATATTTTGCTTCCTTCTTTGATATAATTTAAGTATTCTTGCATTTATAAATTATCCTATGAAGCATATGCGACAATTATACAATAATTCTACTTTTTAAAATATAAACTACTGAATAATATTCACCGGTATATACCATTATAAATAAATATCAACATCGAAATTCACCAATTTCATACATATTAGAAAATTAATTGATAGATTTCGAAAATATCTATAATTTGTGCAAAATGTTTTTTTTTTTTGCGTATCTGAATTTATTTAAAAAGAACTCACTGTACATCATCAACTGTTCCATAATCGTTCATCAATAAAACGATATTCTATTTGAATCTTTGCTATACTCTAACAAAAATCATTTAGTATACTTTTGATTCTATCTGATTATTTTCAAACATGCACACACTCGATTTTGCAAAAAAGAAAAAAAAAAGAAAAAGAAGAAGAAAAAGAAGAAACGATTGTCAAATTCACCATATAGCAAACCAAAAAGAGCAAAAAAAAAATAATTATAATACTAATAATAATTTAAAATCAATCTGTCATGCTTGTATTTGAATAAATATTTCCATCTTGATTCATTATTCCATTTGTTTCTAAACATTTTATAATGGATATATTTGGTATAAACCAATTTTCGACTAGAGTATATGAACCATCATGATCTGTATTAGATTTTTTTTCATATGTTATATTTGTATGTAATAATTTTCCATTATATTTATTTAATAATAATTGTGCTAATTCATCTCTTAACATAATTTGACGTTCAATAGGTATATAAAAATAATCATCACAATAACTAACAGCCATGCCCATTTTTCGTGCTTGTTTAGCAAGTACAATACGTTGTAATTGATCAAATGGTTGACATGATATAAGTTTATCATCAACTGGAAATGTACATTGACATGATATATTAGTTGGATCATTAAAATTTGATATTGTTTTTAAAAATTGTCTTCCAATTGGTTCAATATGAAATAAATAAATTAATTTTAATGGACCAATTAATGTTAAAATTTTTCCACCTTGATTTAAATTTGATATTAATGTAAAATTTAAACCAATTTGTAATTGTTTATTTTGTTCATTTGTTGTATTTAAACGATTTTCTATTTCATTTACAAGTCGATCAATTTGATAAAATTTTGCTTCTGAACAAAGTTGTTTTAATTCAGTAAAATTTTCAGGTAAAAATAATTTTTTATCACGAAAATAATTTAATATATAACGAAAATATGTACCATCACGATCAATAAAATAATGACCATTTTTATCTAATGAAGTTGTTGTTCGATTTGATATTATTAAAGCTAATAATGATTGAGAATCAACATTTTCATTGATTGTTGAATATGTTGTTGAATAAATATGACCGCCAATATTAAATGTAACAATATCATCCTTGAAATTTTTCTTTTCATTATCTGTACATTTGAATATGAGTGACGAGACAGATAAACTCCGGGGTGCAGGAACCGGCGGCGGTGGCGACGGCATCCTGAAAATATTCTGGAATATTGACATTCACAGACACCGAGAAAAGAAGAAACGAAGAACGACAACTAGGTTTCTTTTCTTCCTCTTTTCTTTTTGTGTTTTTTTTTTGTTGTCGTCTTCTTTTTCTGATAGTACTGCGAAAAGCTCCGTTGGTAGCAATTAGAGAAGGCTGTGGTCTTTCTTTTTTTTTTTTTCTTCTTTTGCTCTCTTGAAAAAATTTGCTATCGTTATAGATTGATAATTATCAGAATAATAGAACAGAAAAACAAATGAACGAGATGAAAAAATCTATCGAACTTCTGCTCTTTCTCTTATTTAATTATCCGATCACTAATAAACGAAAGAAATTACATAATACAAAGCAATCTGGAACATGTCGTTGTTAGCTCTTTCCTGATTGATGCCTAATGATCAAATGATACTTATAAGCGAAAGTCTAAAATATAGTTTAGAAACACTCGATTCGAAGAATACTGTGTAAAACTTGTATAATTCTTTATACGACAACGGTCTGATCAAATTACGAGAAAGACGAGTGAATCGTAAATAATGCTCGAATGCACAAACACACATTATACATACTGACTTTTATTACTTTAGCTCTTCTTTTTTTTTTCTTCTCGTTCGCTTTTTCATTTTTTTTCTCTTCTCTTTCGATCAACATACTCTTATAATTACTCTCTTGAACGACCTTGACAATCGACGAGACACAAGGAAAAAAAAAAGTACACCAAATCATATTAATCAAAACTTTCGATCATGTATATATATATATATGAGTGTGTGTACACGAGTTCAATAAGGATTCATAATCAAACACATATAGTAACCATCAAGTTCCTCTGAGTCAGTCAACAGTTCGATTCAGTGTAAAGAATAACCTTGCAGCTGTCGCCGTTCTCCCGCCGCCGTCTCTATCCCTGTGGTATCATATACACAAGGTCATACTGTAAACGCAAGTCTTCGCAAGCTAAAGAAAGAAAAAAGAAAGGCGAGAGTTTTCCTTGGTGTGTCTGAGAATATTAGTCGAGACAAACGGAATCAACAAACGATAAAAGGAAAGTTAGATAATCAATAAAAAAAAAACTCTAAGTGTCGTCTAACAAGGACAAGAACAATCTATAGAAACATGTCTTTAATAGTAACAGTATCGTAACTAACAAGAATCGAATTGAAGAACAGAAATATATACTGGCTGTTTTTTTATTTATTTCATTTCTTCTTCAAGTATGTTGTTAAGGTAAATAGCAGGTAATATGAACTCGAGGTTAAATCTCCCCCAATAAAAATAATAATGCATAAAAAAACAAAAAATACTACTAACATACTTTTTTATTTCTTCATCTTACCTTACACTTTTTCTTCTAGTTAACTAAATGGATGTCGAATCTTTCTTTTTTTTTATTTATTATGTATATACTATTAAATCTTATCTCATTTATATACCATCTTTTTTTCTCATCAATGACTACCTTGTCTTCAAGAAGTATGCACTTGGATACACACATACATATATATATATTATAAATATGTATTGGAGGTCAAGGCAGTCGAAACATCGTCGGTCTATCCAACCTTGAGTATGATTAGTATGCATATAACATAAATAAATGTATATATATTGACAAGTAATGTTCAGCAACAAAAAAAAAAAAAAAAGAAGACATATTTTTTCTTTTATTTATCAATTTATTTTATTTCACATAGAATAATAGTAGTAGAATGTGTTTTTTATGTATTTATATACAAGCACATAGATGTGAGAAAACTCACTGAAGCAAGTTTGATCATTCTAATTTATTTTATTTCATAATTGAATTCTAATATTCTTCGTCTAGAATAATAAAAAAGAAAAATATTCATGATAATTTTTTTTTTTTATGTTTTATTTATTTACCTGTAATTTCGATAGTCCATTCTGGATATTTTTTCTTTAAAATTTCGACCGTTTTTTCATGTTCAGCTCGACCAAAACCCAAAAAAAAATTTTTTTTTTTTTTTTTTTTTTTTTCAAAATATGTTTTTTAATTAAAATTCAACAGAACTTACCATTGAATAACCATAAACTGATATTGTTCGTATTTTTGGATCAACACGAATACGACCACCACCTTTACAATCTAATACTAATTTTGTTGAATCAATTTGACTTTCCATTATATCGAGAACATCAGCTACAATAAAAGAAATAATTCTTCTAATTAAATTTTATATTTTGTTGTTTTTTTTTACCATGATAAGCACATGCAGCATCACCACGAACAACAAATTTTGATTTACCATAATTTTTTTCACAATCACGAACTTCAATTAATATATATTTAAAACAACCAGCTTCACCAATATCAACATCAGGTACTTCTGATATTTCTCGAATTTTTCTACTCATTGTTAAATCTATCCAAAATTGATGAAGAATATATTTTTCTTGAAAACGTTTTGCATATTGTAAAAGTTCAAGGCTATTACGTCGTTTACGACAATGTTCTGTTGCTGTGGGTGACATTAAAAAAGAAAGAAGTAAGACACAACTAGTAAATGTTTATACGCTCTCTGCTTGTATTTCATCGATTGCTTTTCTGTTTTTATAATACTCCAAAAAAAAAAAAAAAAGAAAAGAAAAAAAAAAGTATAGACAGAATGACAAGTGTTGATGTTTGTTGTTTTTTATTACACTCACATGTAAATTTAGTCTACAATAAAATGTATAATATGCGTATCTTTTGTAAACAAAACTCGCCCAATCAAGACTAAAATACGTCCTTCAAAAGAAGAAAAATGTGCATAATAAATGTAAACGACAAGTCGACTTTTGCATATATACAATCATGATAATCATTAGATAATTTAGTCATGCACGCCTACGTGAGCGTATATATTGTATTAGAGTAACGACGAATAGGTATATGTTTTCTCAGACATGGATGATTTATTTGTTTCTTTTTATAAATATGGGAAATTACGTCTGATGATGTACAAGTGATATAATGTCACTCAATAGGACGATTCTCGAATAATTTAGTCTAAAGTTTGAAGTGTGAAAAAACAACAACGCATATTATTTCTTCGATATTATGAAAGAAAATCAGAAAGATGTAGAGCAATTCTATCAAAAAAAAAGTATGTCACAAAACTAGTATTTCATAGATATGTATCATTATTTCGATTCTACAAAAAGATGAAATATTCATAGAAATTAGAAAGTCTTCTTTGTGGGAATTTTTTTTTTATATAAATATGAACCTACAGACATACTTATTTCTCTTCTAGAACTATCTCTCATCTCCTTCTTATATTCAAAGTCGTTTATAGTTTTTTTATACGAAAACAAACATGTACATTGTATCACATAATATTTTTTTTAGTTTTTTTTTTTTTTTTTGAAAATAATTAGAAAACAAACACAATTTATTCTTTTTTAAACACGCCGAATAATACTCAAAGCTGGTAATAAAATTTTAAATATTTCACGCCATATTGATCGTGTTTTATCTGTTTTATCATAATAAAATTCTTTAGCTACATAAAAACCCATACCACTAGCACTTCCAGCTGCTATTATTGTTGATCGTGTAAGCATAATTAAACCACTTTGTTTCCATGTTAAATTTTGACATAAAAATTCTCCAAATGGTAAAAGACAATAAAAACTTATAGGTTTTATATAAAAAAATTCATTAAGAAATATAAAAAAACATATTAATGTTGATATTGTTGCATAAAATGTAAATGAAAGAAAACAATGTACATTACATATAGCAATACAACGATTAACAAAAAAACAATGATGAAATCGATCAGAAAAATGTAATGAACATATAGGACATTTATTATTTGTTATCAATAAATTTGGTAGAATAGCCGTAAGAAGAAAAATTGCTAATTGATATTGAATAAAAATCCATGTTAAAAATAAATAAATATAAGGATTAAGTGATGTTATTGTTGAAAGTATATAAAATAGTCCATGACTATAAAATAATAATAACCATCGACCAATTTTACTACATTCAAGTAAAAATCGTGATGTTTTCGCCACTCTTATTTATATATATATATATAATCTGAAAAGAAATTGATATTTGATGATGATATTTATTTAATCTTTTCAGTAAAAACAAAAAAACAAAATAAGATTTATTTAAGTAAGCGCATCAAGAAGTGCATCTTTTATTGTTTTATTGCTTGTTGTTGTTGTAGAACCACTTAAATTATGTTGTCCTAATTTAAATACACTTTCAATAACACTTATTTCATGTGCTGTTGTATCTAATCCACAAAAACCAATCCAATCATTAACTAAAAGTCCAGCACCAATAACATCACTACCACGATTAATTGTTCCAGCAACAAGTGGTACTTGTAATAATGATGATAATTCTTCTTGTTCTTGTATAGATGTTTTTGGATGTACAAGACCACCTTGATTTGTAAACATTGAATAACTTCCAACAAGTACACGATCAGCTATTGTCTGTCGAAAACATTCAACATTAAGTGTATCAGTTAAAATTTGTTCAGTTTCTTTATCTAAATCAGGATGTATTAATGCAACATAATCGTTACATGCAATAACATTTCCTAATGCAGATAAACGTTCTTCACAACGTCTTAAACGTACATTATCTGGTAAAGAATTACGAATATGTTGTAATTCTTGATCAGTTGTTGATGATGGTACAAGTAGACCATGACGATTACCAACTGTTAAACGACCAACAATACGACAATCACCTAAAAAATTAATAAATGATATGTGGAAGAAGAAAAAAAAAATTTTTTTATTTTTTTATTTACCAACTGATGAATGAATAACAGGAATATGATCACCAAGTTCACTTTCAAATGTTGAATAGAAATTTTCTGAACCACCAATACCAACAAGACAATAAGCATTTGTTAAACGAGCAAAAACACCTATATCATTACTACTTTCAAATTGTGTACGTACAGCCATGAAAAAATTTTTTTTTATGGGAAATAATTAATAGTACTTGTTAATCTATAAAGAATGAATAGAAATTTCGATCTATCACTCGAATTTTCAATTATAGAAAAAGAAGTCCATTGTGTTCCCTGTTAAATATCGAAGTTAGTCATCTTGATTTATCATCAGCAAAAGAGGAAAAAAAAGTAAAAACGAAAAGAACAATATTTTCTTATTTTTGTTTAGTTCAAATTTTCCAACAAAAACAAATAGTGACAAACAACAAGAACAAACAACAAAATTTTCACGAAAAACGGTTTTTTTTTCTTTGTCATTTAACTAACGTCGTTGATAAGTCGTTCGTCCAGTACCAGTTGTTGCTTTACGTGAACTACTATTACCTGTTCCACGTTTTTTAAGTGGTCCTTTAACAAAAGCCCAATCAACATGAAGTGTATGACCAAGTAAATCTTGTCCATTAATACCTTCTAAAGCTTCTTTTGCTTCTTTAAATGTTTCATATTCTACAAGTGCATATCCTTTAGCATAACCAGTTCTTCGATCCAAATTTAAATGCATATTTTTTATATTACCATAATCACGAAATAAATCAAACATATTATCTTCTTGTGCTTCTTCATGTACATTTGTTATAAATAAAATCCATCCTTCAACAGATCTTGCTGGACCAGGATTTCCACTATCACTATCATTTGTTATTGTATCATAATCACCTGTTTGCATTGCTAAACGATCACTTTGTTCATTAAAACCACGACCTTTTCGATGACGTGCATTTGATTTAACTTGATTAATAGCATCATCTTCATCATGATCACCAACTATAATATCATTAGGATTATCCATTGTTTCATCTTCATCTTGAACTTCAACTTCAACATCAGCATTACTCATTTTTTTTTTCTTGAAAAGAATTGATAGTAAATGAATGAACGAATTAATATGTTGAAATGTAAAAGCAAGAGAAAAAAAAATCAACAGATAAACAAAGAGGATAGGTATAACGAATAAGAATACAAACAAAAATTATTTATTTTATTAGAAAAAAAAACGTTTTTTTGTTATAAAAAATTTAATTAATATTAAAATAAATGTGTGAAATAGAATAAAGAAAAAAAAACAATAAAGAAAATCTACTGACATCTATATTAAATATGATTGATAATCTTAATGAAATATATTTCTCCAAAAAACTATTTGGATCTGAAATGTGGTGCGTCATAGGAATTTTAATTTTATATCATATATCTTTAATAATTGCTCATTCTTTGCCATTATTACTGCTTGTTTCGTTCGATGGTTTTCGTCATGATTATCCAAAACTTCATGGACCTTTAAAAAATTTTCGTCGATTAGAAGAACGTGGTGTTCATGCAGAAAAAATGATACCAACTTTTACAACAGCAACATTTCCTAATCATTATACGTATGTTTTTTTTAAATTAATTATTGATAAAAATTAATTAAACAAAATTTCACATGAGATTGGCTATTCATCTATAGTCAACAATCTGATAGTAATTTTTTTTTTTTTTTGAGAAGAAAATTTAATTATTTTAGTATAATCATTATAGTAAAGAATTTTTGGTTTATTATTAATCTTTTCTAGACTACAAATCTCACATGGGCAAGGTATGTAGCCAGCGTTGTGTACTGTTTGTTCGTTAATACTAACAGTCATTTTATATTGTTTTGAATATATGTATTGATTACCCAACAACTGCAAAATGAAGACATATTATTTAAGATTATAATATCTAATAAGATTCATTCTGCTAAATACTTTTTTTTTGTTAATCCTAAACTTTTTTTTTTGAATTCTACAATATATTAGGCCTAACTTGCTTGAGAAATTCAATAAATTATGATAAAAATATATGAAATTTTGTTTTTATTGTTGTTATCATTTAGTATAATAACTGGTCTTTATGAAGAAATTCATGGTTTAATAGGCAATCAAATGTTTGATCGGAAAATGAATGTTACATTTGAACCATCAGAAAACATGACAGATAGTAATTGGTGGCCATATCCATCAATATGGTCAATTAATGAACGACGAAAAGGTGCTCGATCTGGTGTTGTTGGTTGGCCACAGAATCCAATTTATTTATCAAAATATCAACCATTTAGTCGAAAAAATTTATTTCGTAATATGATTGATCAAATGATAAATTGGTTTAATGATCCAATTGAACCAATTAATTTTGGTGCTATGTATTTTTTTGAACCTGATTTAACTGGTTAGTTTGTTCTTTGTTTTTTGTCGAATATTTTATTCATATATGATATTCAGGTCATCGAACTGGACCTTATTCAATAAATATGACAAATATAGTTCGTGAATGCGATGAACATTTAGGTTATTTATTAGATAAAATTGATATAAATGAAAATTTACGTCAAAATCTTCATTTAATTGTTATATCTGATCATGGAATGGAACAAATCAATGGTACAAATAATCCAATGTATATAGAAGATTATATTGATAGTACAAAAGTTAAATCATATGGTGCAGCACCAGTCATGAATATTTTTGTTCAATCAGGTAAGTTAAATTTAATTCAATAAAAATAAAAAAATTATTTTGTTTTTTTTTTTAATATTTTTAAAGAAAATGATATTGATATTGTTTTAAAAAATCTATCAAAAATTCCACATTCACAAAGTTATAAAAGAAAAGATATACCTGAACGTTATCATTATAAAAATCATGAACGTATTGGTGATATATTACTTGTTTTAGATGTTGGTTATGAAATTCATCATCGTCCATCTTGTATGAATATATTTTTTTAATTTTAATTTTGTCGTTTTTTGAAATTGAAATAGATATAAAGATGGTAAAAAAAAGTATGATTTAAATCTTATACATGGTAATCATGGATATGATAATCAACATGATTCAATGAAATCAATTTTTTATGCAAGTGGACCACAATTAAAACGAAATTTTACATTAGATAATTCATCTTCATTGTATAATATTGATCTATTCGGTTTTATGTGTCTTATATTGAATATAGATCAATGTCCACCATCAAATGGATCATTAGAAAATATTAAACCATTTTTAATTGATCCAAATAGAATAAATGATTTCAATAGAAGAATGCAAAAGAGAACTCGTGTTTTAATCATTTATTTAATAGGTAAGTAAAATCAAAATATAGATAAAATCAATGAATTATTTAAAGTATAGGATTATGCATAACCTTTTGCTATGGGAGTAGCGCTATGATTTCAAGTTGAATACCTAATGAATTTTATACCAAATTAAAGCACGTCGAAAACGGGATATATTAGTACTACATAGTAAGAGTTATCAAAATCTTTTAATGTCGAACTTATGAAATTTTCAGAAATCTTATGTTTTTTTGTTGGCATAGAAAATTAAAATGCCAGCAATTCAAATATGGAGTAAAATATTTTCTTTTGATATTTTTATATGGTTCAATAGAGCTTGTCGAGCTCTACAAAAATGTCTATAGTAAAAGTTTTTAAAGCCATTTTGCTGAGATGAAAAATTTTAAACGTTACTTGCAACATGCTAAAAAAATATTTAAAAACTCATTTTTTTATATGGAAAAGAAACACTCAATTTTCTGAATAAAATTAGCTTTTTTCATTATTTTTACTAACAAAGATGCTTCAAAATATACTCGTTAGACCCAATTTTTCACGCTGCATCGAATGAGTACATTTTGAAGCGTCTTTGTTAGTAAAAATAATGGAAAAAGCTAATTTCATTGAGAAAATTGAGTGTTTCTATTCCATATAAAGCAAAAAAACGAGTTTTTCAACATTTTTTAGCATGTTGTAAGTAACGTTTAAAATTTTTCATTTCAGAAAAATGGCTTTAAAAACTTTTACTATAGATAGTTTTGTAGAGCTCGACAAGCTCTATCGAACCATATAAAAATATCAAAAGAAAATACTTTACTCCATATTTGAATTGCTGACGTTTTAATTTTCTATGCCAAAAAAAGGGTAAGATTTCTGAAAGTTTCATAAGTTCGACATTAAAAGATTTTGATAACTCTTACTATGTAGTACTAATATATCCCGTTTTCGACACGCTTTAATTTGGTATAAAATTCATTAGGTATTCAACTTGAAATCATAGCGCTACTCCCATAGCAAAAGGTTATGCACAACCCTGTACATGAATTATACATACATAAAATAAAATTAAAACAATTTATTTTGATATTTCTTAAGTTTATTATATTTTCTTCGTTGGAATTAGACTAAATAATTTTTTTTCTAGCAACAATTAGTTTCGGTTTAATTCTAATCATGGCTATTATATGGTTAATACATTCATCTCGAAATATATTAGCTAGAAAAAATAACTTACGCTCTAATCCAACGAAATATACGAGACATACTGAATATGAATTCAGTAACATTAATAATCAAAAATTAACTTCAACAATTGAAAATCAACAAGTTTAATTTTTCGAATGTGTTTTGTTGTGTTGCCTTTCAATATCACTTTTTATTTGTATCTTTAGAACAGAATTTTTTTCACTTATCATTTATATCGCCCCATAATGAAAGTAGTCAAATGACGAGTTATCTTTTTGTCTAAAAGATTTTTTTCAAAAAAAAAAAATGACATATTCTGAATCAGCGTGAAATTTTGAGTAAAATAAGACATTTTGTTTTCTGTCGAAAAAATAATTTTCACCTTTCTTTATTCTCATTGTCAAATGACTTAACAGTGTCATTAAGAAGTACAAGACGTCAGAGTAAATTTAAAATATATGCTTCAAAGTCTAGTTTCAGATAGTTTTAAGATCAAATCCTCAAAACTCCAGAATAAAAAAACTGACTTTAGAGACTTTTGACCTTACTTTATGGGTTACCCATTTAGCAGGAGGTACGCATTGGTTTTAATTCTTTTCACCAGAGAGTCATTTGTTGAAAAAAACTTCTTTATCTTCTACTATATTTGACATAAAATCATGAAAGCTTGTAGACATGGTAGCATGTGCGAAAAGATGAGAGACTGTATTCAGTTTCCCGGAATCTCCAAATATCTGATTTACAGTCAAGATTTCGTTAATCGATAAAATTAGATCAAAAAGTCCTTAAAGCGTATTGTTTGTCGGACTTTTGAGTACTTGACCCTAAAACTATTCGAAATAGTTTTTAGATAACTCAGATTGAAAATGCAGTTTTCGCACTTGTCTTGTATATTTTAAGCTTCGTAACGACATTACTGAGTTACCTGACGAGATGAACTGGAAATGATACTCTATTTGTATTGTATTACGAAACAGACTTTTATTTTCTTACAATTTTTAATGTGATTTTGCGAAATTGATATCAAATTTCGTATATGATAGTGTGTATTTTGACAGAATAACAAAAAAACAAAACATCGACGGTCTTGATGTAACCGACAGATGCAAAAAACAGGTGACAAATAAAAATCATTTTACACAGAAATTTACGCTGATTCAAAATATGTTATTGTTTTTCAAAAATATTTTGAAAGAAAAAAAGGATCTTATCGATACTCGTCGTTTATCTTTTGTAATATAATTTAGATAATAAAAAAAAAAAAACAATCAAAATATGTATATTTCTATTAAACTTTTTGCATTAATACTCATATCATTTTTCAATTCATGTATTTATTGTTTACCAATATTAAATGAAACATCATCAACACCACTTTTATTATTAATATCTTTTGATGGATTTCGTTGGGATTATCCAGATTTATATAAATTACCAAATTTTAATTCCTTAATACAACGTGGTGTTCGTGTTAAATATATTAAAAATAATTTTGCTACTGTTACATTTCCTTTACATTATACAATTGTTACAGGTTTATATGAAGAAACACATGGTATTGTTGCTAATACAATTTATGATCCAAAATTAAATGCCACAGCAACACTTGATACAATGAATGACACAAAATGGTGGTATGTACACCTATTTTCATACTAAAAATAGCAATAAAGAAATTGAATACGTATGAAAGTTATGCATCAGATTGGATTAGTAAAACTGAACAAATGTTTTGTACTATTCATTCAAGTTTATAGATGTGTTGGATCAAGGTTTTTTGATCTTGGTGATTTTAGTTTTTTGGATCTCGATTCCGATAATTTTAATTTTTTGGTTCGGGTCCCAGTGATTTTAGTTTATTAGGTTCCGGTTTAGGAAAAAACTATCTCAGAATTTATTCGTATCACATCTAAAAAAATTCTTCAATATTTATCTTTTGATTTATTTAGTCGATGACTAACACTTGAATCTTCTGATAGATTATTTTTTTGTAGTATTTGAAATTTCTATTGAGAAGATCGAATTTATTATTTAGATTGGAATATCTTTGCTTTTAATACATTATTAATAGATTCTAAGTTTTTAGTTAATTTAAAGTTCAAATTTATCTACAGTTTCAAGAATTTTATGAACAAATTTTGATTAGATTTAAAGAAAAACTTTCAATACGATTCGATCCATACGATTGATTTTTACTATTTAGAAAACGAAATTTTTTGAAATAACTTTCTCTTATCGCTTGAATTTTTGAGGTCACAAAATTCATATTCTCAACCAATTTGGGTGAGTAATCAATTAGCAAATGATTCTAAACAACGACGATCTGGTGTCATAGCTTGGCCAGGTTGTGATACACCAATTAATGGTCATCTACCATATAAATATCAATTATTTAATTTAAATCGTAAATTTGATTCAATACTTAAACAAATATTCGATTGGTTTCATGAACCTATTGAAACTCGTATTAATTTTGGTGTTATCTATTATCCTGAACCTGATATAACTGGTAAAAATTAAATTTTTTAATAATCATCATTTGAATTTAAACAAAAAAAGAAATTCTATAGGTCATCATTATGGTCCAATATCAAATGAAATGAATGAAACATTAAAAGAATGTGATAATTATATTGGTCAACTGTTAAAAATGATTGATAATGATGAATATTTAAAAACAAATTTAAATATTATTATTACATCTGATCATGGAATGGAAGTAATTAAAAAAAATCATACAATTATACTTGAAGATTATATTGATATATCATTATGTTCAGTATATGGTAGTCGTGCATTTGTTAATATATTTGTTCATTCAGGTAGATTTTTTCTTTAATTACCCTAGTCGAACTTTTTTTGGCATGCGCATGAAAAGCATGAACATCTTGAGCAAAGATGTCATGCGCTATGGATACATCTTGAGCTCAAGTCTTGGCAAGCGCTTGAATAAAAAAGTTCGACTAGGGTAATCAATAAGTAAATTAATTTTAATTAAGAATCAAATATTGATCGTATTTATGCAAATTTATCAACTATTCCAAATTATGAAGTTTATAAAAAATCTCAAATACCTGAAGAATATCATTATAAATCAAATATACGTATTGGTGGTAAGTTATTATGTTATGAAACATGATCTAAAAAGAAGTGTTGAAGTATAGGAGTAAAAATTTCGAACTTCCACAGACCGTGATAGACGCTAGTCGGTAGAAAGCTGCGAGCCGACGTTTTTGTGGACTCAGACTCGAGTGAATTTCTCTATGTATAGTGACAGACAAAAGTTTAGAGTGGTTGTATTTTTAAATTTTCTTATCGATGGTAATAGCTAGCAAGAATCTGAAAAAAACAGTTGTGTAAATGGAAGGATTGATGGGTTCAACGATTTCAGCAAAACTGCTTGGGTGAGAGTCTGCAAAAAAAATAAGATTTCCAAAACCAGCTTTTTGGCTTCCATTCGAACCTTCTGGAAGACGATTTTATTCGATAGAACAATTGGTTTTGATCTCCCTTCATCGAACTACATTCAAAAATTTTCAAATAAAAAGAAGAGAAAAATGCTTCTAGAATCTTCTGTATATTGAATGCAATTCGATGAAGGAAGATCATAGACGTCTTATTTTGCTCAGAATCATTTGCTTTATCAAATAAGATCCTTTTCCAAAACCTTTGAATAGAAGCCAGGAAACTGCTTTGGGGTCTTAGTTTCCAGCAGACCCTCATTCGAACAGTTTTGTTAACGTCTTCGAGCCTACCAATATTGATAGAGAAGTCTTTCAGCTACAAAAATATTTTTTTCAGATTCTTATTAGCTATTACCATCAAGCGCAAAGCTTAAAAATACAACTAGTGTCAGGCAAAAAGTCAACGCACAGTTATTTCTTATTCTTCACTCTTCTATCACTCGATGCTTAATAAATTAAAAGTTTTCGCTTAGCTGAAAACCGCATTATATTAAAGAAAATTGAACAGTTAGTTGATAAACAAAACTTATCAAACTATAATCTTCAGCTGTATTTATTAAAACGAGATCAGGAAAGAATATATCCTATGTAATCAATGTAGGAAGTTGCGGATCCACATTTTTATGGTCCTGGACCCGATCGTAGGCCGAGTCTGGAAGGATTCGCAGTTTTCTACTAAATGTGTCCTGAAATAGATCGAATAAAATAATCTTCCTATGATTAGCAAGAGTCGTTACATCGTGTTACATATTTTAATCTCGTAAAGCTTAGATTAACAGTTTTTTATTTAAGATATTTTATTTGTTGGCAAAGCTGGTTATGAAATAATTGCACCGGGAGATAATTCATCAACTGAATTACTTGGTGATCATGGTTATAATAATGTTGAATCGATGTATCCGATATTTTATGGATTTGGACCTGTATTTCGTCAAAATATGCAAGCTGATCCATTTCATACTGTAGATATTTATTCATTAATGTCTTATATACTTAAATTAGAAAAAAGAATAACAAATGGTTCATTAGATAATGTTAAACATATTCTTCAAGATCATTTGAGAGAGAAATTTTTTAATGAAATAAATTTATTTGTTGTAAACACTGCAGTAAACATTACACATTGGGGCTTTATAAGTAAATGAATTTAAGAAAATTTTCTGTAAGATATATTTAATTTGTTTGGTTTTATTTTTTTTTAGCTGTTGGATCTGTAATTTTGGTAATTTTAATTGGTATTATTTATATAATAGTTGCTTTTCGTCATTCTCGAAAATTGATTTATGTTGAATCCCAAAATGTTCCTGTTCGTTATCGTTTATTAAGTACTAGTGAAGGTTCAAAGAATAATTTATTTGCTGATGAAAGTGACAATGAAGAAATTCAATAAAAACCGAATTATTTATTGTGATATATTTTTATTTTATTTTTCTTTTCTTTTTAATTCCATATTGGATAATGGTGATTTGTTATATTCTTGCAAAGACAAAAAATAATAATAATAATAATTCGTTTTTTTTTCTTATTTATTATGATTGAATATTATTATCATTTGTGTGTGCGAAAATTGAGACAATCAGAAGATATTGTGAGGTATAATTAAATAAAAAATTTGAGGAAAAAAAGAATGATTAGGTTTTATTTGTTGCGTGATCTCTTATTATGAAGTTATGTACTATGCGTCGGCAGTAAAATGTTTTGAATCCAGGATAGGCTCAACAATCTTTATATAAGATTCCTATTGAGAAGTTAAGAATAAGGGAGACCACTTAAAAAAATACGTCAATGTTTGTCTTTTTTTTAATTTTGACTTTCGAAAGAAGAGTTTCTGATCTGCTTTACTGAAAAACAGAATACTGGTGAAGCAGTAGTGATCTCAAAAAAAAAAACGAATTTCATTGTAGTTTTGTTCACCTGTTGAACATAGTTCTTAGGCATGTAAGCTTAGTCACTAACAAGAGACGTCCTCGAACTTACAAATCCTTTTGAGTCGAGACTATGTTCATTATGTAGATCTAAATGAAATATGGATATCTGAGAAGAGTTGATACCAGTAGCTTATTGTTGAGGAGATATTGCACTTTTATGAAACTGTTTTAAATGAATGTCGTGATAACACAAAAACTGATTTTTCTATTTCAGCTTGAAGCTTTGTATAGAAACAGATTTAGTTTCTTGTCAATGTTTCAGATCTTATTGCTGTTCCGATCCTTGCTAGTAGCGTGTTGTTTACATCGCTTTTATAAATCTGACTATTATGGTTGAGTAGGTCAGTTGTTCAACATGTACCCAATAGGTACCATCAACCATGGAACGATTCTGGACAAGTTGCTAATGGCTATTTGTCTTGAATCAACTGCGCGATAGCATATTGCGGGCATACGCCTGCACTTGTGGTTAGTATGCGGTTAATCAGTGTGTACGAAGAGTTTAAGCGATTGAACGCAAGAATTCTGCGTCAAGACGATCTTCTGTCCAAAGCTATGGCTAGTGTTATTTTCTGAGAAGATATTGGGCTAATGAATCTGCTGAAAGGCAGGGATTTCTTTTCTTCCATATAAACCGTTATATTTTATGTTCGTATTTCATAATAGAAGCAAATCAAAAAGATCTGAAACGACTCTCATAAAGACCTGTGTCTATGCAAAGTTTCGAATCGAAATTCAAAAATGAGTTTTTCTGTTGTCACAGCATTCAGTTAAGAACATACCGTAAATGTGAAATGTCTTCACAGTAACAAACTAAGGGCACGAATTATTTTCAGAGTATTCACAGCTTAGTTGGATCTACATATAATACACATAGTTTCGATTCAAAAACGATTCATCAGCTAGATGATTTCTGTAAATTGTCGGCAGTTTGCAGTTGATCTAATTCGAGTTTCCCATACAGTTCTTGTTCGTTTGCAAGGAAGGTTTACTACTTCAATTCATTGGCAATGTAGGATCCAACGTTTAGATATACTAAATTCAATGTTTATTCAAGAAATTCTCCTAAATCTGTTTCACTACGGAAATGTTACTGTTTGCCGCTGAAGCTGGTAACAAATTTCGATATACTGTATAGATCTATCAATCTGAAGAAACGAGAAACGAATGTTTTAGTCTATCCAAGCCTCGTGGTTCCATCGCCTATGGTACTCTTTTATCTTCCGTGAAGAATTCAATCAATTTTTGAACTTGTGAGAATATACAAATCATGATAATCATAAATCAGAACTAATTAATTCGATATATGAGAATGTTTTAATATGATATTAAATATTCTAAAAACTTAACTGTTTTGTCGTATATACGCATATAACGTTCCGTTGGTTATTCAAACATATATCTACCTGTTTTATAGTTATTATACTTTTACTGTCTATAAGAAAAAAAGGCTCATCCGTTAGCTAAAATCAATATGTCATTCGAACATGTACTCAGGAACTCTTTTGCATGGAAATTCGACTATTCTACAAAAGGATCAAGGTTTTGAAACTCAATGTTAACACATTTCGATAACGCTTAAATTTTCGAAAAGTTCTCAATGAAATATTACTTTAAATTTGATACATAAATCTTCCTAGAACAATTTATCAAAGTCCATAAAAAAAGAAAATACTAAATTAATATCTTTTCCGTGTTTAGATTATTATATTTTAGATCAAAATTTAAAATGCTTAAAGAAACTACTGAAGAATCATCATCATCAACAGATGATAAAAAATCTAAAGATAATAAAGAACTTTCCTCTACTCATTCAAAATATGTTACACATCGTGCAACATTTGGTCAAATACGTGTTGATCATGCATCGAAATCTAAAGAACATCAAATGATTGAATCATTATATAAAACTTATGATCCAAGAAGTGAACAAAATCAAACATTTGATGATCGATTATGGTCATTAGTTGATGAAGATATTAATACTGATACAAATGATATTGATTTTTATGGTTTAATTAATGCTCATTATCGAAATATTAGTTTTGAAAATAAACTATCATCTCAAAAAGAAGAAAAAATCACAGATAATTATATTGATCAATTAGCTTTTCCTGAATTAACAACAAAAAAATCTAAAATTAAATCAACAATACTTCAAAAAGAAACAATAAAAGAATTAAAAAATGAAGAAATGAATTTTATTGATGAACAATATTTTAATACATTAAAAAAAATTGAATATCCAGATGAACAAATTAATAAAACTATACCAGCAAAACGAATTGAAATGCCACCAACAGATGAACTTAATTATATTGATCAACTTGTTTTTACATCACCAACTTCATCAGAAAAAATAAAAAAACCTCAAACTCCAATTCCCAATAAACAAACAAATTCAATTCCCATTGAAAAATCAACGAATACTTCATCAGATAAACTTCTTGATATAAATTTTCAATATCGAATTTCTATTCCAACTCCAAAACCTTCTGAAAAATCTTTACCTAATCTAAATGAATCACCAATGGATTCATATAATCCTAAACTTGAATCAATGCGTAGTATAAAATCAAAAGATTATTTTGATCCACCACGACAATCATCTCTTGATATACAAAAAGATAAAGATATTGATTCAGATAAAAATGCTACTCAATCAGCTGAACATATTCGTGAACAATTAACAAAGAAAATTAATGTTCGTGATAGTTTAGGTTATCGAACATTTGAAAATCTTATACCAAAATGGTGGACAATGACTAAAGCAGAAATTGTTGATGTATTAATCAAACAGATCTGTTTCATACAACGTAAGAATTCATTTTCTTTAGTAAACAAAAAAAATTATTTTATTCCATTGATATAGATGGTATTCTTGCACTAGATAAACCATATGGTCTTCCCACATTAGATAAGTAAATAAAAATTATAATTTTCCTTAATTTTCGAGCTAATTTTTTTAGGTGGACCAGGAGTTCAAATATCTATTGGTAAGTAAGGTTCCGGACATGCAAAATTAAAGCAGGATTTTTTTTGCTGTTCTATGTATGGTTAGATAGAGTGTGACAAGTTGTTCCAGAATATGTGCGGTTTCCTTTGTTTCATTTCCTTTAATTTTCAAAAATCGTTGTTTTCACATTTACCTTGAAAAACTGAATCTATAAAAACTTACATATATGTGAGTTTTTATAGATTCAGTTTTTCAAGCTAAGTCTGAAACAAACAGTTTCAAAAATTAAAGAAAATGAAAAAAATTGAAAACGCACATATTCTTGATCAATTTGTTACGCTCTATCTAACCATATATAAAGTGACGAAAACAAAATTCTGCTTTAATTTTTCATTTCCGAAATCATCAATCAGATATTGATTCGTTTTTTTGTATTTATAGCTCATTTTATACCACAAATAATCGAACGTTTAAATAAACCTGAAATAAGACAACTTCATTTATTACATCGACTTGATAAACAATCAACTGGTGTTTTACTTATGGCTTAGTAAAAGAAAAATAATTATTTATCAAATTTCTTATTATATTCTATTTAGTACACCAGAAGCTGAAAAACGATTACGTGAACTTATGCAAGAACGAAAAATTATTAAGCAATATTTAACTATTGTTCGTGGAATACCAAGACCAACTGAAGGTAAAAAATTAATTTTTTGATTATATCAAGTAAATTGTTTTTCTCTAATAGGTGAAATTAATATACCAATTATTGAAAGAAGTGTTCGTGGTACATATAAAATGATGCTTTCACCTGATTATAATGATTTAACAAAATTAGTTATGCCTAAAGTTAAACGTGATCATATTAATAGTTCAGCAGCAAAAACAAAATATCGTGTAATTGATTCGAATTATGGAGTTTCATTAGTAGAATGTCAACCAGTTACAGGTAAATTTCATCAGATATTTTTTTTTATACTAACATTCAAAATGATGATTTTTGTGAAATGAACAATGAATCACTTTTTTTTCTGTGGCTGCCGATATTTAATAATTAAATCGAGTTTCTATTCTGCATACATTCATGTTCGCATCACATTGAAAATTATTTATGAGGATAGTTTAGCAAATGATAAATCACTTTTAAGTCGAGACTAGAAATGTGCGGGACCAAGTCATTTTGGTCCCGAGCCGGTGGTTTTAGTTTTTCTGACTCCAGTCGTGGTCTAGAAATAGTCTCGCAATCTCTAGTCGAGACTGTGCATAATGTAGACCCAAATTTGCTATGAATACTCTGAAAAGACTTTGTGCTATTAGCTTATTGCTACAGAGATACTCTACCTTTATGGTATTATTTAAATGAATATCGTGATTCATTTTTGAATTTCGACTTGAAACTTTGCATAGGGACAGGTTTAGCGTTTTGTGAATGTTTCAGATCTTGATGCTGTTCCTATCCTTAGATTAAACTATTGTATTGAACTACTCTTATTAAGGCTTGTCCTTGTACAAAATTTCAAGTGGAAATTTGAAAATCAGTTTTTCTGTTACGACGACTTTCATTTAAAAAATACTGTAAAAGTGCTGTATCTTCGCAGCAATAAGCTAATAGTACAAACTCTTTTCAGAGTATCCATTAAAGTTCGACGGCCGTAAAAATTACCTGGAATTGGAACCATGGTTCCAGCTCAGCTCTCAAAATATCATGTGGAACCAAAACCGTTAAATCATTAGATAGATACAAAAACTTTAAATCTATTTTGAGAAATTTTCACCATTGAAATATTAAGATTAAGTACATTATATATTTTAGTACTTAAACAAAACAGTCTTATGGATATCTAGTGACAACATAGATTTAACGGTTCCGATTTCATTTTTTTTAAGAACCGCCAAACTGTAGTATTCATAGCTTATTTGGATCTACATAATACACATAGTCTCCACTCAACAGTGATTTATCAATTGGATGACTTCTCTTATTAAGTAATACTCCGAACTTGGTATCATGTGATTTTTGGTTGTTCGATTTCGTCAGACAAAATTTAAGCGATAAAAACGATTCCAAATCGTTATAAACAACGTTCGACAAATAGATTCATCGAATGCAATTGAGTGTGTGAATGATTATTTCGAACAATAGAAATTCGCTCGCATCCCATACGTTCAAATACTTCAATATCGGAAATTTCGCTTATGTTATCGCATGAAATTATTTCAATGTACAATTTTACTATAAATTGATTTTTTTTCGAAATTTTCAGGTGTTAAACATCAAATTCGTACACATTTAGCTCATGCACTTGGAACACCTATATTAGGCGATCATAAATATTCTCATTATGCTAAATTAGCACCACAAGTATAATTCAAACTTATTTGTTTTTTTTGTTTTAAAATCATTGTTTTTGTTTTTTTTCTTGATTATATAGAAATTACCATTTGCAACATTAAAAAAATTAGGTGTACGTCAAGCAAAAGTACGTACAATTCCCTTATGTTTACATTCATATTCAATAGCTATACCAAGTTTTCTTCATCATCAACAAAATATATTTATTCGTGCTCGTTTATCACATCATTTACGTTATTTTATTCAAAATCTACGATTACGAATGATTAAATAAGATATTTCTTGTTGTCTTCTTTTCTTTATTTTAATAAAAGACAGAAAAAAAAGATGATGTGCGCACAAATTAGATAATATTCATAACTGGTGCAACATCTAAATAAGAAAAAAATAAAGAGCAGAGGTTTATTTTGTACATGATTTAAAACTTACGTTCAAATTTAATCTTTTCAACTATATTACGAGATTTAATATTTTCCTCATGATTAGCAATCCAAATATAATTAGAATCATCAGCAAGTTCTTTCCATCCACGAGCTTTAATCAATGCTTCAAAATCATTGCCTAAATTAGAATTTGATTATAATAAAAAAGAAAAACAAAAGAAAGCAAATTATTACTAGAAAGACGACCTAATGCTGATTGTAATTCTTGTCGATTAATTGTTTGATATGTTCGACTTATTGTTTGGCAAATAACTGAAAAATTATTAAAAAAAAATGTCAAATGAGATAAAATAGATAATTAATTTTACGAACATTCTCGAATACGATCTTCAAAACCTGGAATTTTCACCGAAGTACGATCCAATAGTTCCTAAAAAACAATAAGTTTAAATAAATTTCTTTATTAATATTACGAATTCAAATACGAACTTATCAAATGACTTAAAAAGAAATTCTAACAACAGATCGTGTTTTGACAAAATGAAACGCCCTTGTCTAGTTCAAATAATTTCTATTATTATGATGTCCTATATGATGCTTATTAGAGATAATTTAAATCAATCTGCTTGTACAAATAATTGGTATTCTTAATTGATAGATAGAATATGAAATTCAAATTTATCGTATAATTTTAAAATTATATTTTATTAAAATTTGAAACAAAAGAATGTCATACGTAGACACATAAGCAAGGCCAGTCGTTTTCGGTACTGATTCCAATCAGAATAAAATCTTGGTTCGGACTCCAATCAACGAAAAATTTGGTCTCAGTCCCGACCGTAAAAAGAATTTGGTCCCAACCGTGATCTCGGTCAGAAAAAAAACACTTGGTCTGGATCCCGATAAAAAAATTGGCTCCAGTCGGAAAAACTTTTCCTGCCGATCCCAGTCTCAGTCAGCAAAAACACTTGATCCGAATCTCGGTCACATAACAATCACTTGAAACTTACCCAAAAATCTTGAAACCGACATGATTCGAGTAATTCAGCAAATTGTAAAGCTTCAACTATACGTGGATTTTCTTGACACTGATATAAAAGAGAAATTTAATGAAAAAAAAAAGAAAATTTTTTTCTTATTTTCGAAACTACTTTTTGTGTATCAAGTAAATATTTGCAGAGTAAAAAATCTGGTTTTGGTAAATTTGTTACTGCCAAAAGAAGAATATCTGCAACTTTATCAGCTTGAAAATAACTTGGATCAAATTGATACATTTTTAATAAAGCCATATTAGCATCAAAATCATAAAAACGATTTTCAATTTGATATTGAACATACTCTTCAAGCATTGGACGACAATTTGGATTATATCTAATTGAATTCGAAAAAAACAAGATTATTCGAAAAGAATTATAAAAATGAAAATTATATACCGTTCAATGCCTTTAAGTTTTTTTGCTACTTCTTCAGCACGTGTATTCGTACGAGCATTACTAATAGATGGCATTTTTCTTTAAAATTAAATCTGAAATTTTTAAATAAATGACATGTTTATTTGTTTTTTTTTACAAAAAATTATTTATATTAAAAAAGATCGAGTTTTTTTGTACGAATTTGGTCACGTTTAGATTGAAGATTATTTTCAATATGTTTTAATTTATTATATTGAATTTTTTTTGCTGTCAAACGTTGTTTGATATTTGAAGCAACTATTGATGTACCTCTAGAAAAAAAGAAAATATATTTGTTCTTTTTTTTTTTTGTTTTTGATATGAAGAAATTATTTTTAGACTAACCGAAGTTCATTGTATTTTAAACGTTCTTCTAAATGTTGAATTTCACGTTCTAATACTCGAATTTCATCATTACGTCGACCGATCTAAAATAAAAGATCAAAAAGAGTCAGTCGAATTTGGTGGCCTATCTTGAACGAGGATATCATATATGTAGTTTTGTAGAACAAATTGCGGCGCATCGAATGGTATATAAAAAATCAAATTTTATGGAAATTTTCATGTGCTAAGAATGTTATAATGCTTGGAATACTCATACACATTGTAATCCATAGGATATTCTCAAATTTCGTTTTTAAACTCAATTCGATACACTACAATTTGCTCTATAAATTCATACATATGGCAATCTGGTTCAGGATATCTTACTTCTGTATGTAATAGTAAAGATGTTTCATCAACAGTTGTTTTATTATCTTTAAATCGATCCAATGGTGATGGTGTTGAATCTTGATTGGCTAAAGGAAAATATAGATTTTTTTTTGTTTTTGAAAGTTTGATTAAAGATTTAATAAGAAACAAACTTGATCTTATTTCTGATGTAAATATTTTATCAAGAAATGTAAAAACATCTTTTTCTTCAGGTAATTTTTTTTGTTTTTCAATTGTTAATTTTTTTCGATGTTTTTTTATTTTAAATGCATCAGGTAATTTATGCTGTTTTTTTAATTCAAATATAGCATCTAAAGATTTTCCTATGAAAATACAATAGACAACGTATAGTTTAATAAAAATTTAGTTCAATCAATCAATCAATTACCTTTAGGTAAAATTCGAGCTTCAATCGGATTTACTAATCCTTGATTTTGTCGTCCAAGACCTTGTCCAGCTTTATAACCCATTTTTGCCAATAATTTAGAACCGATTCCCTATAATACATTTTGAAATCAAGTTATAATAGAAAAGATTCATCTAGGCTTTTCCTTAGATATTCTATATAATTCGGTCAGTCAATGCTTTTACAACAAAGGAAAATTTCATTTCTTTGAAAAACGAAATGAAAAAAAAAATTTCTTACTTTAGTATGCTTTTCCCAAACTCCTAAATTTCCTAATCTTGGTTGATCAGTAGATGAACTTGGAATATCTGCCATTGAATTAAAAACATCATTAGTAATATCTTCATCTTCATCATTTGTTTGAATTTCATCTGAAGTATCTTTAAAAAAGATAAATAAATATTTGAAATTCAATAAAATTATTTTACTTGTTGTTATTATTGATTCAAATGGTATAGCTTCTAATGCATTAAAATGAGTAAAACGTACTACACAAAGATGATTATCATTTTCAACACTTTCAATAACACCTGGTTTCCATAAACCATCGCTACCTTGTTTACATACAACATTTTGACCAACAGCAAGAGTACTACGAAAAAAAAAAATCATATTTTTTGAATATTAACATACTAAAAAAAAAACTAATGATATATCTTTACTTATAATTTGCTTCAACATATTCAAGAAGATCATTAACAGAAACAACAAAACCATGAGAATATCTGAACGAGACAGAAAAAAAGAGTTAAAATTAAAAGAAGATGTTTTGTTTCTTACTTGCAAGTGTCACCAAAACGACAAGTATCATTGAGAAAATGTGAACATGGTTTTAAATCAAGACGTGTTGGTTGACAAAATAAAACTCGAACCTAATGTTAATAAATATATACATTAGCAAAAAAAATGAATATTTTAATACGTACTGTATTATCTGCTATAGATTCAATATCGAGCCCAACAGCATTATGTCGTTGTAAACCACTGATAGGACAATTAATTTTTACACTACATTTTGTACCTATGAAAATAAAAATCAATGATTTTCAAGGATAAAAGTATTTACGAACCAACAATTTCTTTTACAACGGAATTCTCGGCTTCTTCATCATCTTCATCATCACTACTATCAGAATCGGATGAAAGAGTGAGACAAGAGGTTGAGTCAGGATCATCAATTGTAATTATTGATTCATCTAAAGATGAATATATAGATATGATGAACCTTAGAAGAATTTGCATACTATTGTTACTATTTGATGTATTAAAGAGAGAAAGAGCTTCACGAAGATCTGACTGTAATTGTCTTAATTCAGCACTTGCAACTCCATCTTTTTCTTCTTGTTGAAGAATCGCATCTTCGACAAGTTTTAACTGGAAATTCATACAATTATTATTTTTTATTATTTTTATTTTTGTTACTTACTTGTGCTTGATATGCAAGAATACATTCATTATCATTTTGTGAATCAGTCATAATAAACACGTCTAACAAAAAAAAATCACTGATAAAATCCAAATAATCTAATCTCACAAAATTTCGAATAAATCCATATTAAATTATTCTTCATAAAAAACACTTCAAATATTGGTCTACATAAACAAATTGGAAGGCTTAGAATAGATGTCGCTTGATTCGACAGTTTCATCTTTCATCAATGAAATTTTAAAGTGATGAAATGCATATCAGATATAATTATTGTTTTATGAGCAAGTTAGAAAACTATTTTAGTTCATAAAAATTTTCTCAACCTTCTTATAGCTTTTCTATTAAATTAATATTTTCCGTCTTGGAGATTTCGATGGCTACTCAAAAAAAGTTGATTTTAATATGCCACAGTATATCTTGTCCGATGGCACCACATTTTTTTCTATCGGGTAATCTTTGTAATTGATGAGTATTTTTGTGTCGCTATCTTGAATAAACCATAAAACTCGAAAACTCAGCGAAAACATCCGATGTGATTGATATAGACTGCTTGAGCACGCTCACAATGGTTATGAGAAGTAGTTTCGGCTGACATCTAATCCATATTGTAAATACCGGACACTTTTTAGTGGTAAGTTGCAGCAACGGAAGTCGGCAACCGGATCGGTAAAACCGCGATAAACCGATGATTTTTTCGAGCATTTTTATGACATGGAAAGTTTCAAAAAAAACATTTAAAATAGCAAAATCGATGATTTGGAGCAACTAAATGTTAATAATCATAGGCGAACCGGTTCATTTTAGCAGTAAACCGCGGTATTTATCAAAACCAGCGTTTACCGCGGTAAATTGTAGCGATGGGAACCGGTAACTAGACCGGTAAAACCGCGGTTAACCGCCGGTTTTTATTACATGGGAATCTTCTTCGGATTACAGACACCTCTTCATCCTTACATAGTGTTGTGTCAACCAGAGTGTATATCGGATGTGCATAATCTGAAGAAGAATCATTACTAAGAATCATAACACTTCCATAGACATTCATCATTAATCGAATTTTCTACAACAAAACACAGAGTACGAAAATAAATTTCATTACGATCGAAGTATTGCTTTACATGATGAAACATGTTAGAAACCAGATGGCATTCGAGTTTTACTCGACTGCAAAATGCGGTGTGAAGGTTCTAATGTCTATTGACGTATAAATCAATATTTTCCAAAAAAAAACGAATAATTGTTTGGATGATTGAATATGAAACTTTTTTCCAGAAGATAAATACGCCGTATTGGAATCAGGGCTTTGTTTTCGGCGGTGTAAATCTAAAAATTTACGTTTCGACCATTCAGATGATCGAAGTCGGAAAGAAACTGTGAAGTAGCCATTATGAAATTCATTACTAAGAGAATTGTATGAACAAATACAATGTGTTGATCGCTTGATTCTTCTCCTGATTCATTGCCGATCAACAACTGTATTCACAGGTGTATTAGCCATACTCAGGTCAAATATAATTGCTCATAAATGGTGAAGAACGCTAACATTACGATAGCCGTTTACGATACATCATAAAACGGCTAAATAATGCGCTAAACGATGGTCATTTACAATGCTCGTTTACGTATCACCAGAAAAGACGGTCGTTACGACTATCGTTTTTCGCCGTTATTCACCTTATTCCGTGTATTGATTAGAATCCCTTGTTGACGCGTCATACAACAGATGAAAGCATGTCGATTATTGTTTCTTTCTGAAATCTACTAAGAAAATTGTTTTATTTATCAAAACCGTAGCAATTACTATTCGAATATACAAGTTCTCACAAGGTCTTGCACTATCATATTAGGAACTTTTGAACTTTTCAACATAGCTCAGATTTCAACAAGTTTACCTTTTTACAGGATTAAATATTGTCAACAACAAGTAGAACGATAATTATAAATTTAATAACTATAAATAACTTTTTTTCATTCAGATCACTTCAATAAGAAATAAAATGATAAGTTTAAATTTAATTATGACGTCGTATACGACGGTATACGGTCGTTTGCGATTATAGTAACTCTCTGTACACGACACGACGAGATACAGTCGTATTTCAGGAGTCCAGAAATATGATGAAATACAATAATAATATACACTGTAAACCCCAGATAACGGCGTCAATACGGCTCAGCGTTATTCGTTGAAAACGGCATGCAACGGCGCCGTTTCCGTTCCGGGGAAACTACATATACAAATCTGGTATGACGGATTGTGGTCCTAAAACCGGTGAAAAATGGCCCTCGTTTTTCGCCGTTTACGGCAGGAATTAAGCCGTTTTATAGCCGTTTCAGACCTTATAAGACGTCGTTTTCGACGGTCTGAATGATCGACCTGGGCTGGGTAAAACGTATGGTCATAGATACTCTCTTTAGACCTTTTTCATACTAAATGAAATTCAAAACCATCCAAGTCAATCAGAGTTTTTTTTTTTTTTTTTTTGTAGAGATCAAATTTGATGAAACTCAATTCTACTAATAAGAAAATTCCCATGTCGAATGGTGCGGCTTCGATACGCCTTAGCTCGTGTGCGGTACACGAACTGAACGCGTACCATATGTGCCGAGTGTACATTATACGTACCACGAACAACTCTCCTTCTTGGAGAGTTCGTAATCAGACAATTCTTTTGCCATTGTACACATTGGTCCTATTTTCTCATTGATGGATATAAAGAAAAGACTACCGAAAGAAAAAAGTCTATTGTTCCCCACATAAAAAACACACATTTCTCATCGAAATTTTATTTCATCTTTGGTTCTTTCAGATTTCTCTGATCATTCCATTTTAAAACACTCCGTTCTACAACTTTTTTCATTTCGTGGGGACAGCCAAAGAAAATATTTTTAGTTTACAAATTTTCAAATATAGATAGCTCTAACCATAAACTTTCATAAGATGTTATTTACATTTAATATTTCTAGATCTATATATTCGGAAATTCTAGTACTAAAATTTATTTATGACTGATGGGTGATTCCCAACAATCCATTGCGTCCATTTAATCAAAATAAAGAAGTAAGTCAAATTTTGATTACATGTTATGTCTATGATTTTTCTGTCTAGAATTTATCATCAATACGAACCATTACTGTACAACAACATCAACAGCAAATGGATCAACTACAACAATAGCACATACAGCCACAACAATGAGAATTAAATTATATACGTGAAATTGTTGGTTTAATAATAGATCAAATAATAGATCAAATTTAAAATTCATTTATATGTGTATTGTACATTTATGTTTCATAAAAGAGAAAGACTTATTTTTATTTACTTTTGTTTATTTAAAGCTTTCATGGAAAAATTGTATTATTTATTGATGTGTGGGTGGGTGTGGGTGGTGTGGGTGGTGTGGGTGGTGTGGGTGGTGTGGGTGGTGTGGGTGGTGTGGGTGGTGTGGGTGTGAGTATTGTTTCTCTTCACACCAACACCAGCACCCACGCCCACGTCCACGCCCCACACCCCACACCCCACACCCACTCATCCTAGATTCCTATGATAGAGAAGATTTTTTCCCATGGCCTAAAATCAAAATAACGAGATTTTACAGATAAAGAATAAAAGAAAAAGAAAATAGAAAGACGTCAGAATGAGGAAATATTAAGAGAACTATAACAAATCGGATTATATCTTAAGATTAATTAGATGTCTATAGTATATTTATTTAAATATCTTTAACTCTGATTAGATGTAAATTAATACATGACTATTGTCCATCATTCATTTTCGACAAACCTTTTTCAACAATTTCTCATTTTGTGATATTTTTTTCGACATTTAATTTTTGATGTTTTTGTTTAATTTCATCCCTTTTACTAAACATTGATGTCCCAAAAATATAAAAACTTAGACAACAAATTTTAACTTTACATAATTTGTACCAAAAATGGTCACCAAGTGATATTGCTAATGAATTAATAAACAGTGATTGTCCACCACCTCAAACAAGATATGCCCTTACTCGTTATATAAAGTACATAATCAAAGAGGCACAATCAAAGCAAGAAGAACGTCAGGAAGACTAAGAACTACAAGAACACCAAGATTTATATCATTAGTTAAATACAATATGGAAAATAAACGAGAAAAATACATCCGAAAAACAGGGTATGGGTGTGGGTGTGAAGAGAAACAATACTCACACCCACACCACCCACACTCACACCCCAACTTAATTTTATGCAACGAGACGAAAGAGTAAAAAGTGCTAAAAAATGGTTAAAACGATTTGGAATGAAACCAGCACAAACAAATTCAAAATGGAAACGTTGAATAAACACGGACTTTAGTGGTCGTATCAGTTTAGTGCAAAAACATCGTAGTAAAAATAACGTTATTTGGCCTAAAAGCAAAACAACAATTCCACTTGATTTACAATCTGTTCGACAAGAAAAATATAGTCCCAGTGTCTTATTATATGGTGGAATCTCATCTCGCGGTTTAATTCCAAATGCTTCACCAATTTTCATTGATGAATGGTTGAAGTCGAAGTGGCAAAAGATTGGCAAGAAAAAAAATTACAATGGATAGATTTTTATATATTAAATTAGTAGAACAACAGCTGAAACCTCATATCGATCAATTATATGGTGATGTTGATGTTATATGGCAGTATAATGGCAATTCGAAATATCGATTTCATTATGTATTAGAACAAATAGATGAGATTTTCAATGATGGTGTTAAGCCTGAAGAATAAGCTGATAAAATGGCTGATATTTAGCCAATTGAAAATATCTGGAGTTATATCAAAGAGAAATTGGAAGAAGAAGAAATAAAAAATATATCAATGTTGAAAAACAACATTATAGAGACTTCAAGAACAATCAGTCCACAAATGTGCTCGAAATTGATGAATTCAATTCCAAGAAGATTACAATGTTTAATCAACAAAGAAAGTTGTTCAATCAACAAAAAAAAGACTATAATGATTTATAAAAAGGTAAAATATTCTTTTGTTTGTTATTGTATTAACAGTGAAAATTAATTACTCTAGACATTTCTGTTGAATAAAATTTTTGATTTTTTTTTTGGGACATGGAAAAAAATTTTCTCTATTATAGGAACCTATATATCTCCCCTATAATAAG